GTGAATAAATACGAGAAGAACTAAAAATAGTATGGGCAACAAAAATTGAGAAGTATTGGGCAGGGGAGTTGAGAGGCGGATCAGTGTGCTAAATTCCTCATCTTTTCATAGCAGAGTGACATGTACTACCTGAAGCTCATAGAATGAGGTAAGTATATGTGTTATAGTGTTATCGTCCCAGGTACAAATAGAATTTGGTAACAGTGGCTTCCTCTGGGTGGTGGCCTTGAGGATTTGGGAGGAGGAGGGAGAAGAGAGCTCCTTTGCACTTGATATCTTTCTGTATTATTGAAATTATATTGATTTCCATGTGTGTGTTCTTCCATAATTACAATATAGCATGTTTTTATTTTTAAAAACTTTTTTTAAGATTTTATTTATTTGACAGAGAGAGAGACATGGTGAGAAAGCAAACACAAGCAGGGGGAAGTAGGAGAGGGAGAAGCAGGCTTCTTGATGAGCAGGGACCCTGATGAAGGGCTTGATCCCAGGATCCCAGGATCATGACCTGAGCTGAAGGCAGCTCGCTGCTTAATGACTGAGCCACCCAGGTGCCCCTAAAACCTTTTGATTCTGACAACCAACTGGTTTGTGGAGCCATTGAATCTTGGGAAATGTCTGAGTTCAAACACCCCTGTGAACTTTTACTCCAATATAGTCATGGGAAGGGATGGGCAAGGTGCCTACTGGTCTATCCTTGGGTTTCAATCTAAAAACAGGCTTTTAGAAAAATTTTGCTCAAATTATTTTCCAAAACAACAAAATTCAGTTAAAAGAACAGTGTTTTGAGATTGTTTAATGAATTATTTAAAATGAAACTTTTTATTCCCAATAAAAGTGAATTTTAAATATAAAACATTTGCATTCCTCTGATCTGTATATAAACTTTTGTCTCTGAAAATCAAATCTAGAGCTGACAAAAAGTGTGGGAGCAAAAAAAGACACTAAAATAGAGGTATAGCTTTGCAACCTTTTGCCAATTTAATGTTTAAAGAAGGTGCAGAAATAGGAACTATGAACAGAAATAACTGAAATGAGGAAGGAAACATCTACCTAAGCATCAAAGGAAACCCACAGAAAGAACCTTCTGATAAATGAAGGAATTATCAGACTGGATGAGGACACAATGGAAAGAAAATTCTCACCTAATTGTAATTCTGGTCTGTCATTTATGGTGATGCCCAAGCTGGTATCAGGTACTTATGAATTTGAGTCCTGCTAATATTTGTAAGCTCAAAATTCTAGAAATTACTATTGATCCATTTGTATGGACAAGTTTCAGAGTCTTGATGATTACCAAGGAGAAGATAATTTTTTTTTTTTTAATCTGAGAAGAATAGGAAATTCTATATGGGCATGGGGCGAACAATCAATGTCTTTAGTTGAGCAACTATACAGAAACAAATATGTTTGTGACTAAAAGAGATGGACCACGGAGAGGCAAAGATTTGGTCTGTCCAAGTTAGTTCCAGATCCTCTGGATTCTGTGCGACTTGCAGTGGCTTCTCAAATGCTCTGCATTCCCTGAGCCACAGCCACTGTAAATCTTTGGGGACCTCTCATCCATCACCAGGCAGATCTCAATGCCACTTGCAGACCCAAGGCGAGGTGCACAAAGCCTGGCTTTGTTAGGAGCAAAACTTTGCCATAGTTGACTGAACCTAACTCCCTGGGAAGAGGGATAAGATGCCCAGTGTCGAAGGAAGCCAAGTTTTTCCTGAACACCTCATCCCCTTCCCCCCACCAACAGTGTCCTACTGCCTCGCTGCTCTTAGCCAACATTCTTGTGAGGCTCTTGTTCCAGATATGTTTTTCTGTCACCTTGGGTGCTCTTCAGTCTCCGGACTCCCCTTATTGGCGGCCTATTGGTGTTTGGGCATAGGGGGAGGCTAAGAGAGTGAGAAATGTCCAGGATGACTCCAGCTTCTTGATTTGTGCATTTGGGTGGATGGAGGTGCCATATACAAGGATAGGGGACCCTGACAGAGGACCCGGGTGGTGAAGGTCAGTAGTGCTGTTTTAGAGATGCTGGTTTCCAAGTCTTCTAAAGCACCCTAGTAGAGGTGAGAAGCAGCCCAACTGGAGGTAAGGGCCGAGGGACAGACAGGAGTAAAAAGACAGCCCTCCCCTCATGGATCTCGTGTGCAACAGGAACAGATTTAGTTAAGGAATGACAGAAACATAAATATCAACAAAGTTTCATGAGAATGAGGGAGGGATTCAAAGGTATTGAGTCCTTCTGGGAAATCCATAAAATGACTGAAAAATTTTCATGAACACAGTGACGTGGAGCTCCCTGGGGACCTTCATGAGAGCTCTTCTGTTTCCAGCGATGGAGTCAAAGCCAGACAGGAGTGGGGTAAGGTTGCAGAAGTGAGGGCAGAGCACAACTCCTTGGAGAAGTGTGCTGGGAAGGAGAGAAAGGAGGTCATAGCTGGACACACACAACGGTTTCAGGAAAGTTTTTTGTGTTTGTTTTCAGCTCAGTGGTTGTGTTTATGAGAAGAAAGAGAGCGGCAAAGTGAAAGACCATTTCTAGGTGCCAGGATGTGAAGGGAGGTGTGATAATCCACACCTTATCTTCTCTGAGAAAGTGAGAAATGGGATCCAAAGATTTCTTGGGCAGGACAGGCATTCTTCTAACACCATGGAGGCTAGGAAGGGTGGAGGGGGCAGCAATGGTGGTCTGGACCGTGCATTATGGTCTGATGGCTTTACTTTTCTTAAACAGAGGCCGGGTGTCTGCGAGGAAGGCTTGGCATTGTCTTTGCAGTGGATGGGAGGAGAGCCAGGCAGGACCAAGGGCCGTCTGTGCTTCTACTGGTGCCGGCTGCCAGGCTGTGTGGCTCCTCCCACAGTAGCAGGTGCAGAGAACCCAGGTGGAGTGCACCTGGGCTGAGGCTCTGTCACATGAGTGTGACGAGGACAGAGGAGCAAAGATGTTGAACGTAACTGGGATAGAGGAAAACGGAATTGCAGCTGGATGAGGAGGGAAGGGAAGGAGGGGCACTAGGCTGGGCAGATACAGCAGGACAAAGGTAGGTCTTGGAGGTGGTAAAGAATGGTCACAAGGGATCCTCTGGAGGGACAGCACTGGGTGGGATGGGTCATCCACAGGTAAGCTCATAGGTGATGGCAGGACGTGGGTGGAGGGATTCTGTAATCCTGGACTGGTATGGCCAATGGTAGGAGCGTTACAAGAATAGGTTTTTTCTTCTTTTTCATTTTCCTTCCTCCCTCCCTCTCCTCTTTCCTTCCCATTCTTTCTTTCTACTAGAGAAAGGGGAGGAAGGCCCTCATTTTCCTACCCAGAAATCTCCCAGCCTCCTTTCCTGTGGTTACAGAAAAGACCAGCCCCTCCATGTGCACTCTGGGTCCTGCCCCATCTCACTTCACTCGGATATCTGGTCCTCTCTCTATTCCATTGTTACCTCTCTGCTAAATCATTTTCACTCACAAAGATGCCTCAGTCTGCTGTTCTTTATGAATACAATCCCCCAACTCTGTGTCTGAGGTCCCTGGCCTCTGCCGATCCCTGGGCTCCACAGACACCTGCAATGTTCTTATGCTCAGTAAAGTATGCCCAGCTGTGCTGCTGCTTCCATTTGAAAAACCTAACTTATTCCTACTTCCTCCCACCCCGGGTCACCTCCCTGTCCCTTCCTCCGCGACTCTCAGGGACAAGCTTCTCCAGATCAGTTACTATGGATCTGCTGCCTATCACCTCTTCCTCACTTCCCATTCTTTTTTTTTTTTTAAGATTTTATTTATTTACTTGACAGAGATCACAGGTAGGCAGAGAGGCAGGCTGAGAGAGAAAGGAGGAAGCAGGCTCCCTGCTGAGCAGAAAGCGCGATGTGGGGCTCCATCCCAGGACCCTGAGATCATGACCTGAGCCGAAGGCAAAGGCTTTAACCCACTGAGCCACTCAGGCGCCCCCTCACTTCCCATTCTTACTTCTAACCCGCTGCCTGCCCTGTAGCTCTGCCTCCCAGTCCCTGAGGTAATGATCCTCCCACGGAAGGATCAGTGTCTTCCCTGGGGTAAAAGGGGGGGACACTTTTCAGCGCTCTGACTTTGTCAAAGCAGACCACACCCCACCTTGGGAAACAGTTCTTCACTCACCCCCAATACATCCCCCACCCGGAGTTCTCTGTGTACTTCTCTGGCTGGCTCTGCCCCTTGTCCTTTACTGATTTCTCCGCCTCTACACTTGATTCAGTGCCATCCAACACCATGGCTTCAAACACTATCAGTAGTCCAACAACTTGCAGTTACTACCTCCAGCCTTGTCACTCTTGGTGAGCTTCAGCCCCACATAACCCATCAATGCGGAGGTCACTTCTCCTCGGATTCACATGTCTAAAGCGCAGCTCGTGATCTTCACCACTTCCCTGCCAAACTTCTCAAGCCTCTTTGTCTAAGAGAACGGTGCTCAAAACCATCCGGTTGTTGAGAATGGCCACCTCGGGGTCATCCGTGATCCCTTCCTTCCTCCGTCCCAACTCCCTTGAATGAGTTTTCCCCACCCCGCCTCAAATGTCAAAGCCATTCAAAAGAGGCTTTCTGACTGCAGTCTAAACTGGGGTCCCCTGTTCCATGCTCACAGCATCCAGGCGCTGGCCGCAGCTCTCCCCTCCCTTGCTAAGTCCCACAGGCAGGCTCAATAAACCTGCCGGAGAGACAAGGTAAACCGTCCCTAGACCAGGGGCAGCCTTGCCCCAGGCGGACTCCCGGCCGGGCGCAAACCTCCCAGAATGACCTGGGAGCCAGGACCCGCACTCGCTCGGGAAGGCGCAGGCACCAGCGGCGGTGCCAACAACCGCCCTCGGCTTCGCGCGGCTTCCGGGTCACGCCCCCGCCCCGCGACCCGCGCTGGGACTCCGCCCTCCAAGAAAGGGGAGGAGCCTCTCGCGCCGAGCTGGGCGCGGTAGCGGTCGCTAGGCCCCACCGTTGCCCGTCCGCCGTCGCCGGTTTAAGCGCGGAGGCCCGCGGGTCACGTGCCGGACGGGGTGGGGGCGTGGCACCAGGAAGCGGCCTCCGAGCCCGCTCCGACCGCGGTCGCCACCGCCCGACCCGACTCGCTGCGTACCCGTGCCGGCGCCGCTCGCCTCGCTCCACGCTGGCGGCCGCCCCCGGACTCCCCGCCGCAGCGGCGGCGCCCGCTATGGGCGAGGAGGACTACTACCTGGAGCTCTGCGACCGGCCGGTGCACTTCGAGAAGGCGAACCCGGTCAACTGCGTCTTTTTCGATGAGGCCAACAAGCAGGTCCGGGCCGGCCCGTGCCCTCCTCCTCGGCGCGGCCCGACGCGCCCCGCCCGCCGTTCCCGGCGCCCCAGGGGCGTCCCGCGCGCACCCAGGCCGGGGGCCGGGGTGGGGGCCAGGCCTGGGGCCTCCCCTCGGGTCCCGGCGCCGGAGTGGCGCCAGCTCCGGGCTCTTGGGTGGGCCGAGGGACCGGGAGCTACCTCGGCGGGGGCTTTCTTCTCCAAAGTGACAGCTGGGTGGACCCCGAACCTGCGCCGCCCACCCAGCACGCCCTTTGGCCGGTGTGATCAGCTGTTCGCTCGCCAGCCCTTTCGCGGCGCCTTTGTTGTCTTTGTCACCAGTTACCCTTGCTGTCGAGGATTTAGACGTTGAGATTACTCTTACTCTCGGAATTTTGGAAAGGGGGGAAAGCAGTGTGAGGAGTAGCAGGGAGAACTCAAGTGCATCAGGGGCGCCTTTGCGGTTCCGGATTAAAGTGTGTAGCCGCGGGGACCCCGGCCCAGTCTCCCACAGTGGACTGCACTCGGAAGGGTATAACCTTTTTGGTCTCTACGCTCTTGTCCTTTAAGATTGAGGTGAACACCAGGCATCTGCAGTTTGATAGATACCACGTTAGTTGAGCTGAGCCAGGAGTGGGTGTAGTAGAAGTAATCGCCTTGAAGCGGTTGAATGTGTCTGAAAGTCTTTCGAAGTTCAGGCCATTAACGTTGCTTCTTTTCCCTCCCAGGTTTTTGCAGTTCGATCAGGTGGAGCTACCGGGGTGGTAGTTAAAGGCCCAGATGACAGGAATCCCATCTCATTTCGGTAACTGTTGACATTCACAGAATAATGGTCACATATACAGATAATGATGTGTTTCTGTTTCTCATTCAGAAGGTGGTTTTAAAAAGTTTGTTCCTTGGCTAAAGTGTATACACGCTTGCAAATCCCTGTTAGAGAGACGCAAGCAGACACCTGCTGTGCAGTGTTGCTGGGACCTGTCAGTACTTAGTGTCAAAGTGAAGTGTGTAGAGTAGTTCTCTCTCTTGATTTGGGAATCAGATGCTCCAACATAGGGAACCCACTTCCTGGCACTTGAAATTAACAAGTCAATTTACTGATTGCGCTCATTTCTGGCATCCTGACCAAGGAGGGCCTTCATTTCCTCCTCTGGCCCCAGTCTTTTCAGGCTGTGTGGGAGTGGAGGAGATTCCTGGTTAGTGTTTCCTTTATAATAATCTGTATTAAGGAAATCCCAGCTTCCACTAAAGGTGATTGGCTGTCCCAGTTTATGCATGTTGAACCAGTATAATAATGAATCGCACTTCCTTTCACTTTCAGAAGTATCTCGATTTGGTTGATAAATTATCTGGTCTTTAACTCCTGTGATTACGAAAGGGGAAAGTACAGCGTGGGCCCTCAGTTCAGTGGTGACTTACATTTTTTTGCAGGTGGCCTGTGCTAATAGAAAACAGTTTTTGAAGTAGAAAACAGATCACTCATTTGTTGGACAAACACTGATTGTAGCCTGTGTGCTAGGCACCGGGCATGTGCAGCCTGGTGCCCTTTTGCAGAACTCCTCAGTTTAGTATGGGAGACAAGTGGGTGGACACATTCTGTTGATTGTGCAAAGTGCTGTAATGGCACTCTGTTCAGAATTTGGGCGCACAAAAGAGATGAGGCATTTATCTTGGGGTAGGCCAGGAAACAGATGGGGAAGGCCTCCAAGAGGAGGGAGCCTTTGAGCAAAACTTTAAAGCTTGAATGGGATGATTCTACATGGGGAAGAGAGTAGACCTTCCAGGTGGAGAGAACACTGAGTGTAAAAGAGAGCAAGCATGGTGTCTGGGGGAATTCCAGGTCTGTGTTACTGACATCAGGTGTCCTTGCAGGGAAGAGGAGGTGGTGGTTTGGCCCCTGGCAGGAGTCAGCTTGAACCTTATGTATTCGGCTATGGAGTTAGGGCTTTATCTTCTTACTGAAAATTTGTAAGATGGGGCATGGCATGATCTCAGCAGTGCTTGGAAGGATCATGCTGTTCACAGCATTGAAGCTTCATTATTCGGGAGCATATCAACGTCAGGGATACCACTGAGCAGTGATTGCAGTGGTCTGAGCCAGGCATACCAAAGACCAGACTGAAGACAGAGTAGACTGGTATCTCATGGGCACTCAGGAGATGCCTAGGAAAGTCTTGGGTAAGTTTTGATGGTTCTTTGGGTGTGGAAAATGAGAGACCGTGATGATCCAGATGTGGGGGGTTAGTAGGGTTCGAGGAGGAAGATACTGGATTTACCCTCTTTTAAATTTTAATTTTATTGGCAAAAATTTTAGGAATTTTGTGTATATTTAGAAGTTTTATTGTGGTAGAATTAACCACATATATTTAACATATATAGTTGATGAGTCCTGACATGTATAACCGTCTCCACAATCAAAAGTTGGCTGGCGCTGCTCTGTAATCTGTCCCTTGACTTCCCTTTGTAACGTCTGTTTGAGGTCCTGTAGGTTGGGAAGTAAACAGGAAAGCTTACACTGCTTCACACACACTGCTCTGAGAGCCGTGGGGTGGGGGCAGGGGGAAGGCGGTAGTGTCTGGAGAAGGGTGCTGTGAGGGTATTACTTATTTATGTCTCAGATGATTCTCATCGGAGAATGCATCTGTTCTTAATTTGTCAGTCACTTGTTAACCACAAAGCTGTAAAGTTCATCAGCAACTTGTTGCCAGTTGGATTTTGTTGTTTGAAGAGAAGTCCTGATAGTTTCAGAAACATAATTTTCAACTTAAGATTTGCTGCTTCCTTGAGTATACAACTTTGCTCACAGAATGCTAGATGCTAGAATTTGGTTATTAGCTTTAATTCATAACATTTTTTTTCCTCTTAAAGAATGGAAGACAAAGGAGAAGTGAAGTGCATTAAGTTTTCCTTAGAAAATAAGATATTGGCTGTTCAGAGGACCTCAAAGACCGTGGTAAGACATATTTTTATTTATTTATTTCAAGTTTTATTTATTTACGCAATCTCTACATGCTTCGTGGGGCTCGAACCTGTGACTCCGGGATCAAGCCTCACATGCTCTTCCAGCTGAGCCAGCCAGGTGCCCCAGGACATACTTTTAAAGGTATCATAGAGGGGCGCCTGGGTGGCTCAGTGGGTTAAGCCGCTGCCTTCGGCTCAGGTCATGATCTCAGAGTCCTGGGATCGAGCCCCGCATCGGGCTCTCTGCTCTCTAGGGGAGCCTGCTTCCTCCTCTCTCTCTGCCTGCCTCTCTGCCTGCTTGTGATCTCTCTGTCAAATAAATAAATAAAATCTTTAAAAGAAAAAAAATAAAGGTATCATAGAGGAAAGGACATTGGAAGTACATTAGGAAGAGAATGAATTGCAAAAAACAGTGTTAAAGGAAGCCTTTATTATTTTAATGCCATGAAAGTTACAGTTCTGTTGTATTATATTTCAGTTTAGAATTCTTGAAGAAGGACATTTCAAGGGATAAATACTTATGACCTTAGTTTGTCCTTTTTTTTTTTTAAATAAAGATTTTATTTATTTGTCAGAGAGAGAGGGAGAGAGAGCGAGCACAGGCAGACAGAATGGCAGGCAGAGGCAGAGGGAGAAGCAGGCTCCCCGCCGAGCAAGGAGCCCGAGGTGGGACTAGATCCCAGGACGCTGGGACCATGACCTGAGCCGAAGGCAGCCGCTTAACCAACTGAGCCACCCAGGCGTCCCTAGTTTGTCCTTTTTGACTTAAGTTTTTTTTTTTTTTTTAAGTAATTTGGAACCTCAGGCATCTTTTGTTTTGATAGCTGGCTGCGCAGATTATGTGAGGTGCTGAGGTGTGTTTTTGGCAACTTGGTGAATTAGCTTTAAATTAGCTTTACCTGGAATAGCTCCATTTACTCACTTCTTACATCTTTGAATGGCTTGACCCCCAGAAACAGATGATCAAAGTTGGAGCACAGTTTGGCTTTCTTTGCCTTTATAAGTATTCACCATTGTCATTTGTAAAGTAGAGTAAAAGCTGTTGGGAAGAGGCAGAATCTGATTCTCTTCTGCCAGGTTTCATTGCTGCAAGTTTTGGAAAGCATCTTGGAAGACGCAGCAACACATTTCTCTGAAATCAATTGATTTTCAGTATCAGTTTCTAAACTCTAACTGAATATATATGTATATTTTAATTGAGTTGTAAGGAGACGGATTGTCCACATTGGTCCTCTTAGTTTTCTTGTCTTTTATCAGTTATTTTTTGATGACTTTAAATTTGCCTTTTGAAAAAAAAAAGAATTTGTCTTTTGTCTTTTTGTCTATCAACGTAGGTTGGCAGTATGCTGCTTGATCTAAATTTTCTCCTTGTTTTTTCTTTCTTTTCCTTCCTTTTTTTTTTTTTTTTTTAACTTTTCAGGATTTTTCTAATTTTATCCCGGATAGTTCTCAGCTGGAGTACACTCAGGAGTGCAAGGTATGGGCCTGGATCCTTTCCTGGCTGCCGGCCATTGCCCTGTGCGGGTCCGCTGGTGGAGGTGCCGTGGGGCGGGGGAATTGCCAGTGCAGGCTTGGAGGCAGGCCGTGCGCCAACGCTGAGACCTGCTGCGTGTGGGCTCAGGTTTCCGGGTTACAAGCCTGTTTCTTCTATGAGATGGAGTCGGGAGGACGCAGTGGGTGACGGGATGTTATGCTCCGGTCAGTGTCAGCACTTCGAGAGGCCCTCGCCCTTCTCCCGGTGCCGGCTGCGCCCTTGGCTGGGACCCTGGATTCCTCTTGGGAGGTTTTAGGAAGAGGAGTTTTCCCCCTCTCCTGATGTTTCCTTTCCTTGATTTGGTGTCCCTGTTGTGTCCTTCCTGTTCAGCATTCGCTGAGAACCTTTAGGCCTTTATTCTTTCCTAGTGCCTGTTCTGCTGCGCTAAGAGAAAGCCAGCTGTCCTTTGATTCCTTAAGGTAGAAGCTGTAGTGGGTTACTGTTTTCCGAAATTTAGGCTTTTCCCTCCGTTCTTGACCAAAGGAATCCAGACCCCGGGGCTTCAGTGAGGTGTTCCAGGTGGAAATCTGGGAACATTGTATTGCTCAAAAGAAAGTTTGATTTGTTAATAAGTAATCAAATCCAGGTAACTTTTAGTTAAGTGATAGAGTATTTTAAGCTTTTGAAGAGAGTTATACAAACATTTTTTTATTGAGAAAATTTTTTGGAATTCCTTTTCAGACCAAGAACGCCAACATACTAGGATTCTGTTGGACCAGTTCTACTGAAATTGTCTTCATAACAGATCAAGGAATTGAATTTTACCAGGTATTAGGTTGATCGCTTATGTTCACGGCATGGGAGGTGCGGGGGAAGGTCTGTGATGGCAGTTTGGCAGCCTTTTGAATTCAGTTCTGAATAGATTGAGATTCTAGAGGTGTAGTCTCTTGCTTATTAGGTTTTTATTCTTTTTTTCTAATTACAAGAAATACATGTTTTTTACAAAACAGTTAAACATTACCAGGATATATGGAAGGTAAAAGTCCCCCCCCCATAATCCCTAGAGATAACTGGTATGATAAGTACAGTATGTATTTCTTTGCATACATATGTACAAACTTTTTTATTTTACAAAAACAGGAATGTTGTATGTAAACTTTTGTGGCTGGCTTTTTTTGCATAGTATTATGTCTTGTACATGTTGTCCATATTTTATTCTTTTTTTTTTTAAACTTTGAAGTTTTGTTTTTTTTTTTTAAAGATTTTATTTATTTATCCGACAGAGATCACAAGTAGGCAGAGAGGCAGTAGAGAGGGGAGGGGCGGGGGAAGCAGGCTCCCCACCAAGCAGAGAGCCCGATGCGGGGCTCGATCCCAGGACCCTGGGATCATGACCTGAGCTGAAGGCAGAGGCTTTAACCCACTGAGCCACCCAGGCGCCCCATCTTTGAAGTTTTATTTAAATAATCTCTCCATCCACCCAACAGGGGGTTGAATTCACGACCTTGGACCTCACGTGCTCCCTGTACTGAGCCAGCCAGGCAACCTGTCTATATTTTATTCTGACTGAATAGTATCCGGTTGTGTGGGTGTCCTACAGTTTAGTTTATTCCATGTTGATGAACCTCTGGCTTGTTTTTATGTTTTTGCAAACATTTCTTTATGTTCTTGGGTGAGGCAGTTCTTGGAATTACACCATAGGCACAAACTTCCAAAAATCTGAACAGATATTGCTAAATTTTTTTTTTTTAATTAAAAACATTTTTTTTTTAGTCTTTAAGTAAGCTCCACACTCCCCGTGTGGCTTGAACTCACAACGCGGAGATCAGGAGTTGCTCCCTCCTTTGAGCCAGCCAGGCGCCCCCATACTTTCAGTTTCAATGCAGGAATCTCCGTTTCCCACATTTTTGCCAGAACTGCATATTATCAGTCCATAGATGTATATTCTGGGTATTAACCCTTTATCAGATCGATGGTTTGCAGATGTTTCCCGTTCCTTTTCACTCTGTTGGCTTGACTTTGCAGCTGCCTCATCAGCTTGTAATATTTTCCAACTGCCTGACCTTGAGAAATACATCTGAGAGCTTTCAGTGGAGCTAATCTGGAGGGTGTTCGGATTCTCGTAGGGTTGAATTTTGTCGACCTCATGAATGCAGTATCATTTAGAATATAGGGATGGAGAAAATATGCCTGTGTAAGCAAACTGTGAGATGTTAATGCCACGGGACTTTGCTGTGGGCCCTCATTAGAGCCTTTGTAATGACCACGGGTAAGAAACCACACAGAGCTGCACATGGGGTTGTGTGTATATGGTAGCGCAGAGAGGACAGTCACACGGCTTTCTGTTCTCTGTAGTGGGAGAGTGTACGTTCACATCATCTAGACGGTCTTCAGCTCTTCAAGAAATAAGTTAAAAAGAAAGAGGACGCTAGCTCATCCTTATTTTGTTCTACCCAAACTGTCAAGATAGCCGGGCCTGCCGACCCTGACTTCCATGTCAGTTCTCGAGCTCAGTGTTTTAGAAGCATTAACGTCTTGGGGCTCTACACTGTCTTCCTTAATGTATCAGAATATTTACAGTATTTTTGAAACATGCCTTGACTATAAAATATTAGGTTTGCATGCAGTGTCTCACGAACATGATCGTTAGCAAAAGGGAGCTGCTTCCGGGCTCAGTGCTAACTGCTAGGTGGAGGCCAGGAGGAAGGCTGGTGCTGCGGGCTGGGCGGTGGCTGATTCCACATGTGGGGCTCTGGGGTCAGTGGGTAGGGGTGGGGGTAGCGGCACATCTACTCCTTGCCCTTTGGTGGATGGTGCCTGAGAGCGAGAGCGTGGAGGCTCGGACTGGGCCTTGTGGTGACCTGGCCTGCCTGGGCTGTAACTGCCGTAACTGGTGTCTGAGCCTTGTTTTCTCCTCGGTCAGGTGTCCGTGGTGCCCATGTCTCAGGGGTGTGCTGTGAGTAGATGAGCCAAGATTTGTAAAGCACCGAGCGCCTGGATCAATAGCTGTAACAAACAAAATCTTTTCAGTTTTATTTAGTGGTTTTTCTTCTGCTTTTTATTTTTATTTTTTAAAAGATTTTACTTATTTATTTGACAGACAAGAGAGGAAACACAAATGGGGGAAGTGGGAGAGGGAGAAGCAGGCTTCCCGTCAAGCAGGGAGCCCGATGCGGGGCTCGATCCCAGGACCCTGGGATCATGACCTGAGCCGAAAGCAGATGCTTAACCAACTGAGCCACCCAGGCTCCCCTGTTTTGTTTTTTCTTTAAAGATTTGTTTATTTTAGAAAGAGTGTGAGCTTGCGGGGGTAGGGGCAGAGGGAGAGGAGAAGCGGACTCCCCACGGGGCCTTGAGCTCTACCATTTGCGACCCTGAGATCACCACCTGAGCAGAAACTGGGAGTTGGACCCTCAGCTGACTGAGCCACCCAAGCGCCCCTGCTTTCTATTGTTTTCTTAATTTCCTGTCAGTTGTCTTCCATTTTACTGTTTTAAACTATTCTGTTCCCTGAACTTTGCTTCAGGTGTTACCAGAGAAACGAAATCTGAAACTCCTGAAGAGCCAGAATATCAATGTGAATTGGTACATGTACTGCCCCGAGGGGGCTGTGATCCTGCTGTCTACCACAGTGCTCGGGAATGTGCTGCAGCCCTTTTATTTTCGGGTAAGAGAGAGCCTCTCTTTAGGGAAAGTCCCTCCCTCTTCCTCTAACCTCCCAAGGGGTAAGTTCCTCCAACAGGTGAGCTCACCACTTTTGACCACTAGAGGGCACACTCTACCCTCCCGTCACCCCAAGAAGGACTCCATGTGTGGGGAAGGACCCCAGGGAGTAAAGGCCATGGCAGGACTTTGGAAAGGATGGAGAGGCATAGTGTGTGCATAGCCTCACTGGTGTTATGTAGGGAATACTAAAGCATCAGAAGGGTTTAATTGGCTTTTCCTAATACTTTTATCACCCAAACAGGCTGGCACGATGTCGAAGCTGCCCAAGTTTGAGATTGAATTACCAGCTGTACCCAAGTCAACCAAGCTGAACCTTTCTGAGAGAGACATCGCGATGGCAACCATGTATGTCTTTTGAGATAATTCCTTCTTGAAATTGCTTTTGGTGATGGAAGTAGTAGAAGTGCATCGTAAGCCCTGTGGGACTGGCCTTTGACACATGCCCAACATGCCCTCTTGCCCTTTCAGTGCCTAGATTTTATGAGTATAGAAAACCTGCCATGGGCCTGGCATTCTTTGCTGATTTTACTAGCTTTGTGACCTTAGGGAAGTTCTTCCACCATCCTAGCCTGATAAAATGAAAACATTGGGCCAGTCTATTTTTTTTTTTTAATTTATTTATTTATTTGAGAGAGAGACAGTGAGAGAGAGCATGAGCAAGGAGAAGGTCAAAGGGAGAAGCAGACTCCCCATGGAGCTGGGAGCCCGATGCGGGACTCGATCCTGGGACTCCGGGATCATGACCTGAGCCGAAGGCAGTCGTCCAACCAACTGAGCCACCCAGGCGTCCCGGGCCAGTCTATTTTTTAGGTGTCTTAGTTCTAGAATTTTTTTTTTTTTTTAATTCTGTGAGTAGTTGAAGCTTATCAAGGACTTTCTTTTAGCTGACATATATCCTGCTTGCTCTAAAGAAGAACATAGTTTTTTATCTAACAAACATGGAACTGAATTACTTAGGTCGGAAGGTATATCTTCATTTGTAAATGCAGATCATCTCAATTTTTATACTTCGTTTTGGAAGTTTTAAACACACAGTTATGGAAACTGATACAAAGAATATCGTATGTTCCCCTAACACTATTCAAAGGGGTCAAAATTTTGTTCCTAAATAACTTCCTAAATAACTGTCTTTGGCCTAAAACAGTGGCTTTGAAGTTTAACATTGTTTAGTAGTTAGAATGCTTTTTTTTTTTTTTAAGTCAATCTTCCGTGGCCTCCTGGTTTGGAGAATAGGTACAATGAGAACAGGCCTTGCCCATGAGCAGCAGGGACCCACTCCCTCCCCTTTGGTCTCATCCCGGTGGCAGACCGAGCGCAGTGCCGGTCTCCGGAATAGTGGTGCGCATGTGGGAACTGCTTGCAGCAGCGGTCGGGCTGTGAGGCTTGCAAATGAAGATGATTCTGTTGCCCTGGTATCAAGGAACATATTTACTACATAAACCTTGGAAGATACTGAAAGTTAGAGAAAACGAAAATGGCCTGAGTTTGTTACTCAAGAATAGCTATTAACACCGTATTGCTTTCTAGTGGTTTTGGACTTTGTGTTTGTGTTTCCTTATAAAGGGTTGTGATTGAGTTATATTTAGTTTTGCTTTCGCGCATTTTGCTTTATAATTGGCTTTTTTTTCTTCTTTTTTTTTAAACTAACTGCACTTTGTAAATATTTTTGTTGGCTGTGAAATACTCCATTAGTGAATTTGTCATAATTAACTCTGATGGCCTCCTACTTCAGCATCTAGAATGGAGGCATTTCAAGTGGCCCAATGTGACATCTATCCCTCTGTTCTCTAGATACGGACAGCTTTATGTTCTCTTCTTGAGGCATCATTCCCGGACCTCCAATAGTACAGGAGCGGAGGTAGTCCTCTATCACCTACCACGGTATGTTTAATGCTGTCCTCGTTCTCCGATTTTAAAATACGAACTAAAGCTTGCCAATCTATTTTTTGACCTTTGTGTTATCCAACAGAGAAGGTGCCTGTAAAAAGATGCACATATTAAAGTTAAATCGGACGGGGAAGTTTGCCCTCAACGTGGTAGATAACCTGGTGGTGGTTCATCATCAGGACACAGAGGTGAGAGTGGTGTGTGCATTTCTCATCCGTCAGGGTTGCCGAAAAGAGTTGTGAAAATTGACAAAACATTCAGAACGAAGACTAGAAAATGCTTTTCTCGCTAAAGCTTTGGTCTTATGGATGCAAATGGGTTTTGTATTCTAGACGGTTTAGGAAAAAACAGTGATTCCCTCTCTGTTGATTACAGTGAGTGAAAGACTATTCCAGAAAGTAGCATGTGTGGATATACGAGTCTGGCCCAGTTATTTGGCTGACTCAGCTAAGCTGGGACTTACTGCAGATCCACAGTCTTACGTGAGCGTGTGAGCTTGGTGCTTCCTGTGTGAGGATAGATGATAATGCTGAGAGATAATAGTTTTGAGGCTCTGTGGCCCAAGAGAAAGACTGGGACCGGCCCTCCTATTTTCTGTGAGGTTGGCTGGATATCTGGTCATAGACAGGCTACTTCTGTCCCACACCTCCTGCAGGGTGGTGACCCCCTTCTTTTGACTAGCGAAGGTGCCATGAGTTAAAGTGAAAAAGATCTGCTGGAATCACTTCGAGCTCTTCAGGGTCTGCCCGTCGTCAGCACCAGGAGTGTGGGTGTCCGCGAGAGCGGGGGGAGCAGGGTCCCAGAGTTGTGATACCCCAGCGCACTCCCCCATCCTCAGAACCAGCCTGCAGGGGTGTGTCGCACACAGACTCCACTGATGGGAATGGCAGGATGCGAGAGAATGGAAGGGGCAGGCTGGGTCCATCGTGGCCCGTTTCGGCGTCTTGAGTTTTTCTTTTCTCTCCACTGTAGACATCGGTGATATTTGACATCAAGTTAAGGGGCGAGTTTGATGGCACCGTCACCTTCCATCACCCGGTTCTCCCAGCACGCTCCATTCAGCCCTACCAGATCCCCGTGGCAGGTAAGCAGCGCCCCCAGGTGGTTGGAATGAGGTGGGCAAGTGAGGGTTCCCAGGTCAGGTGTTCTGAGGAGGGGTGATTTTGTTTTTGTTTTTATTTTTAAATGAAAATCCTATTAATCTTACCAGTAAAATTGTGCCGTTGTGAAAAGCATTTTGTAAGATACATGAATCTTCTTTTGAAGAAAACAGAATGATTTCCCTGAGCTTTCAAAATGGAAAGTTGGGAGGGGCTCCTGGCTGGCTCAGTCCCACTGAGCCAGCCAGGAGCCTACTTGACTCTTTGGGGTCTCGAGTTTGAGCATGTGACTCTTTGGGGTCTTGAGTTTGAGCCCTATGTTGGACCTGGAGCCTACTTGACTCTTTGGGGTCTCGAGTTTGAGCCCTATGTTGGACCTGGAGCCTACTTGACTCTTTGGGGTCTCGAGTTTGAGCGTGCAACTCTTTGGGGTCTCGAGTTTGAGCCCTATGTTGGACCTGGAGCCTACTTGAAAAATAAGTAACTAAAACAGAGAGCTAGGATTACCCACTGAAGCTGAGAGATTTTTTAGTTGTTTAATGATTGAATACGCCCTCCATTTATCGTTTGCCTGTGCTCTGTAACCCTGAGATTAGAAGTGGCTGCTTCTGGCTGTATTTGAATGTGGGATCACTTTTCCTTGCCTTTCTCCCACATTGTGTGTCATGGCTACCTAGTAAATACTGCGTTTTCTTCTCATTGGTTGACCCCAGAAGAGGTTAAGGCTGTGCTGCTTTGGTGTTTTGAGATCTGCCCTACACGAGGTGGGAGGAGAAGGAAGTCAGAGAAGAGAGGAGGTCAGGATTTCCGTGAAGGAGAAAGAAACAGTTGGGCTGTTTTTTTTGCCTTTCCCAGTGTAATTGATTTCAAGCTAGATTTCACGGGAATAACATTCAGCTCTCTTTTAAAGGAGATCGGAGGGTAGAGTAAGCTAGTTGAAATTTCAGTGCACACAGCTAGTCAGAAGGGCACACGTTTGGAGCTTCGGTAGCAATGTTTTCTCCTTAAAAGGGATCTCTTTCAGATAGTATTGCGGGCTTGGGCCCTGCGTGCAGTCGGGAGGGGATCACACGATTCCAGGTCTGGCTGCAGCTCAGAGGCCAGCAAGAGCTCCGCTTCCAGTCTGCCTGCCTCGACTTGTGGATTAGCCGGAAGCTTGATAGCTCTCTGGCAGCACTGGGGGAGGAAGGAGCGAGTTCTTATGTTTGATTAAGTCCTTTGGCTCTCTGTGTTCCTTCCGGCATCTTCCTTTTCTTGAGCTCATAGTGTTAGCATTAGAAGAATAGGTTGTGTCCGGGCACCTGGATGGCTCAGTTGGTTAAGTGTCCTACCCTTGATTTCGGCTCAGGCCATGATCTTAGGGTGGTAAGGTCCAGTCCTGAATTGGGCTCTGAGCTGGGCGTGGAGCCTGCTTAAGATAACCCCCCATCCACCCAGCCCCATGCACTCGCTGTCTCTCAAAAAAAAAAAAAAAATGGGTTTTGTCAGATGTTTATCTTGTATTTGCCGCTTACTCGGCATGAAGGTAACTGCTGGTGAATTGGAGGGAAAACCACTTCTAGACATTAAAAACCTTCTGCTCTGTTCCAGTGGTTTGGGACCAGTCAGAAGGCAGGCAGGTTCTAACTGGCTAGTTACAATCAAATGCCAGGTGTGATCAAAATAATAGTCCTGACAAAGGTTAATAATTCAAAGGTCCATTGAGTCTTGGGCCTCCGGAGTGTGGGTTGGTAAAGCATCTTTTACAGTTAATGACTGTTTGTCTTGTTTTTCCGGCTAGACTGTAAGCCCCTTGCAGGCTTGTAGCATCTTTGTATCTTGCCCGCCCCGTGTGGTTGCAGGGCATGCTGGCAGGAAGAGCTTGTTAGGCTGTTTTGAAAGAGGACGCCGGCAAATTGGGGATGAGCCAGCTGCTGTCATTTCCCCTTCTGTTTTTGGTCTTGTTCCACCAGTGTTGTGGAGCTGACTACAAGTTAGGATCACCTGGTTGGGGGGGGTGGTGCTTTAAAAACCAAGGGCATCTGGCTCTCACATGGGAGCAGTTAAGTCCGAATGATTGGAGGCCAGCGTTGAGGCCCACATGTAAGACCTTCACCCTTGGGGGGCACCTGGGTGGCTCAGTGGGTTGGGCCTCTGCCTTCGGCTCGGGTCATGATCCCGGGGTTCTGGGATCGAGCCCTGCCCCGCGTTGGGCTCTCTGCTCAGCAGGGAGCCTACTTCCCTTCCTCTCTCTCTGCCTGCCTCTCTGCCTACTTGTGATCGTTGTCTGTCAAATAAATAAATAAAATATTAAAAAAAAAAAAAAAGACCTTCACCCTCGGGTGGTAGATGCAAGTGTTCTTTGTCTTGGCTTATCTGACCCATGGGCCCTTTCCTCTTTTGGGTGGTCTTTTCCAGACTGCTGATTAAAACCTGTCTTCTGATTGTCCCTGGGTGGTGGGAACAGAACTGGGAATGATGTTTAGTTTGCCGGGCTGTGTGTCTCAGGTTCAGAGAGGGCTGCCCCCCTGACGTACAGGCAGTGTAACTGGTCATCATGAGTCCTTGTCACGTGGGATTTGATATTGAATCATCCAGGGACGTTTCTCAGTTCCTTACTGTGCGTGTGTAAATGATGATGAATCATCTTTAGTTATTACAGAAGAATTACCAAATCTGAATTCTTGATACTTTTCCCCTTCTTGGGAGGACATTTTCATGGATTGTTCTCGACTTCCCTCTTCTTCCTTATAGGGGTTATCAGTGGGACAAGAGCGTTCACTCCTTTGTCATTTAACCACAGTTGAATAAACATTTACCGAAGGCTTTAAAAAGTACTGCATTTCACATCCTAAGCACGGGTATTGGCACGATTTTCTGATGGCATCGTCCTTGCCCACTTGTGTTTTTTCCATTTGCAGGTCCTGCTCCTGTGACCAGCCAGTCTCCTGTCCCGTGCAAACTCTGTATCCTTTACAAAGGCCTTGCCGCTGGGCATGGAAGGGAAGCTCTTGCCCCCTTTTATACTGGTGTCTGAGAGAGGTCCTGTGGCCTTGGCCTTTTCAGCTGTGAATGAGCTAAAGGCTTGGGAGCCCCCAGGGGAGCATTTCTCACCACCCAGGGCCAAGGAGCCTCTGCAAGTAGGGGGCGGGGCGGGCTTGTCTTTTGTTTCCATCTCCTCCTGGTTTACCACTTCCTATAACACGTAGATTCTTCGTCCTGGATTGTCTTTCAGCCCGACATCATTATCAGTGCAAGCCAAGGTGGGTCAGAGGGGCGGTCGCTAAGTTAGACAGTACTTGTTGGCTTGCGATGACAGAAGTCGCCAGTGCTGTTTTCGAGGTGAATTTGAGAGATGACCACTCCCTTCAACCCTAAAGTGGGAGATTCTTCACTTTATATTCTCTCTATTGTTTATTTATTGCTTTATCCTGAGCATGTTATTTTTAAAATTAATAGCTAAGAGTGGCCATTCCCCTGCTTTTGGCCCATTCCACTCTGTCCGTTCTGAAAAGCCAGACCCCATAGCACGGTGCACAAGACCCTCCCTGCCTGTCCTGACCCCCCACCTCCACACCCTCGTGCGCCGGAGCCCTTTTCTGTTCCGGCTGCACAGAGAGGTGTGCTCCTGCTTCCCACGGTGCTGGGGAGGCTTCTTCAGGATGTTAGTTGTCTTCCTAGTAGCCCCCCACCCCCTGTATCTTCCATTAGAGGACATCCTACCCATCTTCAGTCATTCGTGAAACTTTCCTGTCTCAGATCCTGGGATTCTCAGGGCGAGAGTTAGCCCTGGTGCCCCTGAGAGCCACTTCTCTCGTCTCCATGTACCTCTGAGCAGCTGTGGGAGAATCGAGAAGGGGATCGCTCAGATCATATTTAATGCAGTGTTAAATTCTCTTGTGGAACCCCAGTTGAGAAAGGCAGTGTGGATGTTCGGGAAAGTCATGAATCGGTGAATGATGAATTGCGAAATTCCCTTGGGAGCCTCCGGAGTTAACTTTTGACTGAAGAACCACTGTGGGAGAAACCAAAGTATAGGACCCAGGTTCATGCCACACGTTAACATCTTTTTAAACTTTCAAGGCTAAAAAGGGGGTTAGGTATAGGGATGGAACTGCTCTGAGTCACCCCCACCATTGCCCCCCACCATCTCCGTTTTGGGAGCTACACCATTGATGTCCCAGTGATCAGAGAGGGTCACCTCAGCGTAAGAAGCCATTGAGCATGCAGCTGTAGGGTGGCTGTCAGTCCTTCCGTCAGGTGCAGCCTGTGTGTCCTAGGCTGCACTTGGTAAGATCAGGGTTGTATCAGTGCTGTGCAGACTGCCCCCCACCCCCACCATGAATGTTTCAGGGGAACCACCTTTTGGGCTTTTGTTCCGATTTGCATCCTGTGTGAACTTTGCTGCCTCTTCCACCCAGGCTACCTCTGGAACCTCCAAGTGAAGCTTCAGCCCATCGTAAACCTCTTGCCAGATAAAGGAAGACTGATGGACTTTCTCCTCCAGAGAAAGGAGTGCAAGATGGTCATTCTGTCTGTCTGTTCGCAGAGTAAGTGGACCAGTCCTCCCCACTCGGTCTGGATTCCAGGGTTGGGACTGTGCTGCCCACACCTTTCCTTGGGAGCTGGGCCGCATTTTTGTGTCTTGTGCACAGCCTTGTCCTTCACTTGAAGGGTGGATCATTTAACCCCCTGGAAAGGTGATGAAATAGCAACATGACTTGTAGTTACTTGGGGACAAAAGCTAGATAGGACGGTGCCAGGTGAGAGCAACCCACACGCTGCTGGGGCATCTGAGGGTTAGGGCACTGCCATCCCCAGCCTGAAAACAGACATTTTCCAGAATCCAAGTCCCTCACTACAGAGATCTCTGAGCACTTCTGCTGAAACAGTCCGTAGCTACTTTTTCTAGTCCCTGGGAAGGGCTGGTGAGTGAATTCTAGGCTTTAGGTCTCAGAACGATTCCATTTCTCTCAATGCCCACTGGAGATAGGTTTGCCCTGGTGGCCCTTTGAGGTTAGTTCTTTCTGTCCCAGCAGCACGTTTGTGTTCCGAATGGACATAAACTCGGCTGACCTGTGTGAACGTTCTTTCCAGTGCTGAGTGAGTCCGACAGAGCCACATTACCTGTGATCGCCACGGTTTTTGACAAGCTCAATCACGAGTATAAGAAGTACCTGGATGCAGAGCAGAGCTACACAACGGTAAGCTGTGTGGGCTCCTCTCCACCCCTCCCCCGTGTTTCCTGAGGAAGAGGCAGGACGCCACTGAGGCCTGCGTGCTGAGGGGGCATGGTGGCCGCAGTTGGGGGGCAGCTGCTGGTCTGCACGGCTGTGGGAAGCAGGAGGGCTGCTCCCCGTGGGTTTCTGTGCACCCCTGCTCTGGCTCCCAGGCTTCTTCAGCCCTGGCCCTTGCTAGTTGGAGCCTCTCAGGGCCTGCTATAGCTCCACATGACCTGCGCTGGGCAGACTGCCTTAGAGTCAGGTGAAGCAGTGCATCGTGTCACAAAGCTCTCCCCATCTGTGGCATTCGGGGAGGGCTTATCACTCGGACATCCAGACAGTTTTATACGCGGTCTTCACTTACCGCAGGATCAGGACTTTATAAAAAAAAAGCAGGATGCATTCTGTTTTTATTAGGTAACAAACATCAGAAAGTCCATAATTCATTAGGGATTTTAAGGTTAAGAAAATGTGTCTCAAGAGGAAGCGGACTTACGCCTTCGCCTTTTAGTTCCATTCATGAACAGTAGCCTGTTTTTAAGATGACCACCTCTGCCTTCCCAAACCCTGCCTCTGCCTGCACAGGAGAAATCATTTTGTCCAAGTACCATGTGCCACCTTCTGCTCCCATTTGAGGCACACGGGGTCTAGAAATCGAGGCTTCTGGGCTTATCGAGAAGATGGTTCAGGTCACATTTGCCAATGTGTCGTTCAGGCACTAGAAGCTGGGCAGAGCCGGAGCAGTCCGCTTCTCAGGAGGCCGGTGCGGACCCAGGCAGTGATCGATCAGTCCGACATGTACACCCACGTCCTGTCGGTGTTCACGGAGAAGAAGGTGGGTGACGGGGCCCCTGGAGAGCTTGTTTGCGGGGAGCTGAGGAAAGGAGTAGAACTCAGAATGCGATTAGACCAACTGGTATCTCGGGTGAAGACCTAGTGCTAGTAGTTTGACTTCCAATACTCCGGCCAGAACGTGACTGTGGATGGGGAAGGTTCTGGATCTGTGCAAAACCAGCAAAACAGAACCGTGGGACAGATTCATGTGGAAACGAGGGGTGGAGAAATAAGCTGCAGGCGACCCCTCGCAAGTCCTCGGTGGTTTTAAGACTTCTTTTCCTCCGTAGGACATGCCTCATAAGTTCGTGATCGCCGTCCTGATGGAGTATATCCGCTCGCTCAACCAGTTTCAGATCACAGTACAGGTACCTTCCGGTCAGCAGGTGTGGTCCCAAGTTAGAGGAGCAGGGGCCGCACACCAGACCCAGGATGCGGAGTGACCTTCTCGACACTACCGTGTTGTCCTGAGGTGGGAGGAGGGGCGTTCCGTCAGGTGTCCCGTGGACGCACAGGGGACAGAAATCTGTCCCCTTCCTCGTGGAAACACATATCCAGCCCTTAGAACAGCTTGGGTCCTGGGCCCCATAGCCGCTCCTCTGGTGCAGGTGGGGGATTGGGAAATGTGCTGTCCTTCCGTCTGTCCTCAGCACTACTTACACGAGCTCGTCATCAAGACGCTGGTCCAGCACAACCTCTTCTACATGCTGCATCAGTTCCTGCAGTACCACGTCCTCAGCGACTCCAAGCCTTTGGTATGCGGCCCCCGTTTCTGTTCGTGGGCTTCAGGACTTCACGTTTAACCTCCTAACATTTGATGCTGAAGCCAGTTTGAAAATGTGTCTTTCAGGCTTGTTTGCTCTTATCCCTAGAAAGTTTCTACCCTCCTGCCCACCAGCTGTCTCTGGACATGCTGAAGGTAACTCTTGCCACAGCCGCGTTCGGAACTGCGTGCCTATCTGTTCCTGTCTCGGCACTTACAGGACCTCTCTCCCTCCCTCCCAGCGACTGTCCACCGCCAACGACGAAATCGTGGAGGTGCTTCTTTCCAAACACCAGGTATTGGCCGCCTTGCGGTTCATCCGGGGCATTGGCGGCCACGACAACATTTCTGCACGAAAATTTTTAGATGCCGCGAAGCAGACTGAAGACAACATGCTTTTCTATACTATATTTCGGTTTTTTGAACAGCGAAACCAGCGTTTGCGAGGGAACCCTAACTTCACACCAGGTGAGGCTGTGGTGGCCGTGAGAGAGGGGAGTGAACAGACCGGCAGTAGCAGGAGCAGGCTGGCGGCCGGGCCTTCTGGGGGCCCTCCTAAGAACTCCTGGGTTAGCTTTCTTAGAAACAAAATTCCATCTGCCCATGGAATCTGAATCCTGCTCTGGGACTCGCAGTTAATGCACTTCCAGTGTGGCCCATGCCACTGACCTGAGAATGCTGCTTTCTGAGGAATCAGGGATAAGACAGGAAATGGTGGCAGGAAACCGTGACTAAGGCATGTCACATGGCCTGGGGCTTACCACTGATGGTCTTAGGAAACCGAGGCTAATCTTAGCTCTTTGTCTCCCAAGTTATGAAACCTCAGGCATCTAGCTTCTTTAGGATGGGGAAGGAGCATGTGAGGTTGCGTCAGGCCCCCCAGTAACCCGTGTGGGGTGGCACTGCCAGGACAGGCAAGCCACTTGTGTCTCCAAGCAGGTGGCAGTTCGCTGGGGTTGTGAAGGTGTCCAACAGCTCTGGCAGCAGCTGTATAAATAAAAAGGACAACTCAGCAGCTTAGGAAAACAAGTGTTTTATGAAAGAAAATAAGTTAAAACCCCACCGTACATATCTATGAGCTGTGAAGCATTCATTTTGTTTTCCTCTTTTTGTGCCACATCTGATGAAATCTGTATTTCCTTTATAGGAGAACACTGTGAAGAACATGTTGCTTTTTTCAAACAGGTTTTTGGAGACCAAGCTCTAATGAGGCCTACAACATTCTGAAATCACTTGCTAGTTTGTTTTTTTATATATATATAAAAATGTGTACAAAGTTAATTTATTGCATTAATAAAGCTCTTTAAACTATAAAATGTTATAGTAAAGTGTATCTACAACATCCTCAAGTGTTACTAAAAATATGGTATAGAACTTGTGTGATGGCTTACTCCAAAAACAAAGGAAAAACATTGCATTGATTGGCCTTTAAAAAGTGTCAGGGAGCAGATCCCACTCAGCCTCGCTAGCATCCCCTCCGCCTGCCCAGGTGAGGGCTCGTTCCCGGAGACCGTGGAGGGCCCCTCGGCGTCTTGGAGCTGCCTTCGATTAGGTAATACTGCTTCACACGTCAGCTTGTGGTCCGGAGTTGAAAGCACTAGGGCCGAAGCTGCTGCTGTTCGAGCCTGCTCTCCGCATCCGCCCTGAAGACACAGCAACTGTCCCGCTGTAAGCCCACCGACCCACACAGTTCAAAGTCCCCAGACCTCGCAAGAGGCTAGAAATTTAGGAGCTGTTCTCGCTCTGTACCTTTGTATCGCTCTTGAGTGGCCAAACTTTTGGCTTTATTTATAGATGGGCCTGTGAGGGATTTTAACAAAAAGCAAAAACAAACTTCAGAATCGTTTCTTCAGGAGAAAAGGCAATCAGGTAGTTGTATTACAGTACAAACTTTCTATCCCCAGAGATTAATACCCCCTCCCCCCCGCCAAATGCCTCAGCTTCTTACAAAGCTCTGAGACAGCCAGTTGGTCCTGCACTCTCCTTCCAACCCCACCTCATTTACGGAAGCTGAAGTGGCCAGAGAAGTAAAAAAATCTTAAGGGCAATCTTGAAACGAGAGAAGCACAGGCAGCCCTCTGCGAGGCCCGTGAGTCAGGGAATGAGAGCTGCTCTGCGGCACTGCTGGGGCTTGCCCAGCGGCCGAGTCACTCCGGCCACCCCTCTCAGGGGCAGCGGGGAGACCCCAGGGCCGCAGCCATGCAAGCGCCTTCACCGTCTGACTTCAGGGCCTTGCCCAGCAGCCAAGTGGAGCCTCCAGAAAAAGCATTAGCAGCTTACTAATGAAGCCGTTTGGACCACCATGAAATCCCTAGACCAGATTTTTTTCCTTTCACAATTTTTTTTTTAAGTACCATTTGAGAATGCTTCTAGATTTCTTTTCCTTTAGTCACATGCTTCCTCCATCCACTTACCTCAGAACAAGAATGCTTACCTATGTAGCTGAGTAAGACAGGAAGGAATATCAAGCCATGGGTGGCTCCCAGTAAGACCATAGCCAGATACATCCTGAAGTAGAATATCTGGAAGATCTGAGACTTGGCAAACGCCAGCACCACAATCCCTCCAAATTTTGTTAGTGTGATTCCACTGAACACCTGAAAGAAGAGATAGCGTTGGAAAGCGCTTACTAACCTGCTCTAATTCAACACGTCCTCACAGCGATTTCTTGATGGGCAAGGCCCAAAGCAATGGGTTGAACCCCAGCTTTTAGTTACTGACAAGCAGGACTACATTCTACCTAAAATTGATTTGCTGCTTATAGACGTGGAAAAAAAAAGTAGAAGGGTAAAAGCTGTGTATTCTGCATGGACAATGGACGCTGTCTTTAAACAGCTTTCCTTACACTTTTAGATGAAAACTATTAAGGACTTTCTAGAGCAGCAAAAAACTGGCTGAGAGGCGGAAGCAGGCTATGGAGTTGAACTAAGAAGATTCTCCCGGCTCTGAGGGCCCCAGCTCCCTGGGTGCCAACACGTGTGCTCAAATCGAACCTCTCCGTTCTCTTCCTGCTTCATGGTCTGTAAAGGATTCACCGAAGAGAACGGTTCTAAAGAACTTCAGGATTTAGCTATTCATGAAATGCCCAAAGATGCATCACCCTTGGGAGTGGCTAAGTAACTCAAATTCTCTTTTTCCTACTGACTTTTCCGGTCCCTGAGAAGTTGACGAGCTGGGCACCCCGTGCGGAAACGTCTGGCCAGGCTACTTACGGAACTGCCCATGTGAGAGAGCGCCTCTTCGGCCCGTTGCACGCGGCTGCCCTTCGTGCTCACTGTGAACGCTCTCGTGATGTGGCTGCAGAACTCCACTGAAATGCCACAGCTCTGAAAGAGAGTCTCCCGTTACTGCCCTCTTGTGGCTGAAAATCCTAGCAGCAGGCACTCCTCCCCCAGGATCTGGTATGCCAGGCACCACAGGTGGCCCAGGAACCCTAAGCATCCCCTTTTTGTAACACCGAGCACCCCAGCGGTGCACGCCCACTGAAGGTGCACCGGGCAACTCGTGGGACCCTCAAGCACCCAGACTCCACTTCTCTAGAGCAGATCTGCTTGTTTTAGGGGGACTCGTGGAACCCTCATAAGGTTACCCCTCCCCCTCAAGAGTCAGCACCCCTCAGATTTGCTTTAGCTGGGCCTCCCTGCCGCTTCCCCAAAAACAGTGTTCATGTCGTAAGTACAGACACGCTGCTATTTTAGTAGTTTTTCAAATGCTCCTATCTTTAAGACTATCAGAAAGCACCTGGCAATTGCATGAGAAGCGAAAGGTACTGGTAGCGAATTCCACTAGGAAGGAGCATTTTTTTCTAAAAAGTGAACATCTTCTCATTGGGCTACATGTTTTTGCAGACCCTTCGGGACAGAAGTTCCAGGCAAAATACCCCTGTGACACCACGGAGTCGCACTTCCATTGTTCTATGTACAACCCAGGTCCCCACTCCATTAGCACTCATCCCACCTTTCCACGAGCAAGAGCTGGCCTTGGTCTTTCACCCCAAGAAACAGTTCACAGAAGTGACACGGGAGGCAGGAGCCAACTGAGTGGGCCAGGACTCACCATAACCAAATTGACCAAGGAAACCGCATTCAGACTGATGCCCCAGAGCCACATGACGCCAAACATGTTGATCAAGATCATGGCGATAGTGACACACATGATCACCGCAGACCACAGTTCACAGCCCAGGAGAACCAGGGTCACCAAGAAGATGGCTCCCAGGGACACGCTGAGATTAAAGATCGTGTCATCGATAATGGTCAGGTACTGTTCGTAGAAGACATAGAACACACTGGAGAAAAGAGCAGAAGGTTCTGTTATAGCTCGTGCTTGCTTCTGGAAGCTTTTGTTCATCCTGCCACTATTGCAGAACCAACTACTCTGATTCATCCCTTGCATAAAAACATCCTGTTTTTGTGAGACTCCTCCATAGTAATTCAAATGAACCTCTGACCACTAATACCCAAAAAAGGGCCTCGTAATGATCCAAAATGTGTATTTTATATAAAGTTTTTGTTCATAAGCTCAACCTCTTCACTTCATAGGCATTTACAGAGTATTTCAGGGTATGTTGAAAACACAAGTCCTGATCTATCCTGAGAATTACCTCAGACCAAATGAGATCTGTGCGGGGCATGAGGAGAAAAATGGTTTTTTGGCAAAGTTAGTCAGCTCTTCTCAAGAATTAGGACATCCATTCTGAGAACTTCCCCAGAAAAACAGGCTGTCCTCCTGTCAGGAATGGATCAGAACCCCTCTGAGCAAGATCACAGGGGTGGGGAAAAACCACCTGTTTCTTCTACTTTTTAGTAGTTTCCAAATTCGGTATCTCCTGAAATGCTTTATAGGAGAAAAACCCCAACAAACAAAAATGAAAAACCTCCATAAAGACACCATATCCCAGGTAACTGGAAGTCAGGGGCAGCGAGCAGCTACCGGCCAGGAACGTGCGCTCGAGCCTCTCAGTAAAGCCTGGTCCCCCGGTACCTCGCCCCCTGACCCAGGGTGCTGCTTTGAAGTGTGTCTTTCTTTGGATGGTGAGCTCTAGCTCACAGATCAGATTTTGTGTGTGCAGCACTCAGACCTTAGGGGGTGCTGCAGACCCTGGCCTTCCTTGCCCAGACGCTACTTCCCCTGATATTATTTGCTTCTGCTCATGTTGGAGAAGGTGTCAGAACGAAAGCCAAGGATCAGCTTCCCATCAGGCGAGCCCTCAGGCTGTGGGCCCTAACCCAAGACACCTTGTTTATAAAATTCAAACTACCTGTACGGGAACACACGGTAACCGCTTCCATCGAGGCCCATGGTTTTGGTGATGTTGCCGGCGATGAGGATGGCTTTTCTCATGGCATCAGTAAAGTCAGCAGAGGTCTGAAGCACAGTGTGGTAGGTCATGAAGTGAGTGGCTCCGACAGCCGTGTCATTGCCAAGGATGTTAACGGCTGAACTGTAAGCAGCATGTCCCCTATGGGAAGACTCAGTGGTGTCAGGGAGGCCACAGAAAGTCCCCGCAGACCCTGAGCATGCAAAGCGAACTGGAAATCACCTGACCCTGGCTTAGAGGTCAGACCAGCTCTAGATTTCAGGGACAGGGAAGGAAGGCCCCGTGCAAGGGAACAGTGAAGGTTTTAGCTTATTCTCTCACTTTTGGTTGTTTTAGTGCAGAGGTGCTCTTGTTTGGGTATCTGTGTTCTCCTCCGGCGTTTGCTCGGCAGTGTTGTGTAATGGGGCGGGAAAGGACAAGGGCCCTGGAGTCCATGGCTGTGAGGCGGATCTCGGCCCCGCCCCGTATTAGCCATGGAACCCTGGGCGACGGGACTGAATCTGGGCTGCGGTGTCCTCTGTCACCTCCTCACAGGCTGTGTGGTAAGGGCGGCGACGTGGGTGAGGTGCCTGGCGCACGATGGCACGTAGGAGGCTCCCCGTAAGTGGTGGCTGTTGCTTTCCTAAAAGCTGGATGTACTCGGGTTTCTTTTATGCAGGCCAAAGCGTTCAGTGGGCAAGCAGACCACGCTGCAAGATTCGCTTTTATCTTTAGGCCCAGTCTTTCCTCTGTACCAAGTACAGGTCTCCAAGCACAGCCACGATACACATGACTGACTGATAGGAGTTTGGTTGAATTATGCATTAGGAAAATCAGGGAAGTCCAGGGTTTGCCTAACATACATGTGGACACTCTTCTTGCTCCTACAAAAGGTTCTGAATCATCCCACCCCCGACTCACAGCCTTCTTCCCTATTTCTGGGCCCAGAGGCCTTGCCTCCACACAGCTGACCAGCTGCCCGGCCAGATGGGGGTGTGCGACAGCCCCGAACCTCAGAGCCAGACAGGCTGGCAAGATCAGCCAGGCTGAAGAATCTGAGCCTTGGTCCAGGATGGCGTGACCGAGCAGAGAAGCTGTCCCTGACCCCGGGACGGATGTGAACACATTCTGAAATGCCACACGGCCCTGCTCCCCTCCTGTCCTGCTAGACGCTGGCACAGCGCTCAGCAGCCATTCACGCAGCCGGAAGAGCCAGGACACGGGGCCGAGAGGGAGAGACAGACGCTCAAGCCAGGGTGAGATCTGCTGGAGAGGCTGAGAAGCTCTCCTTATGGGTGTGTGAGGTTTTTCTGCTCTCAGAAGACCCGGTGGTGGGGCCGGTGGGGAGGGGAAGAAAGGGACCCTCCCCATACAGCTGCCCCCACCCCAGCCCTCGGCTAGCTGTCCCGCACAAAATAACTGGAAGTGGGCACGTCTCTGAGCGGCTCCACAGCACTTACCCTTTGCCGCACTTGGGGTTTGGGTTATCAGAAAGGAACATGGGCAGGAATCTCATGAAGTCTTCCCCTTGAGGCCTCTGTTTGCCCTCTGGGGTTAAAGGTCTGCAGCGACCACAGGCAGGGTCAACCACTAGCACAGACACAGAGGGGCCCAGATGAGAAGAACGAGGTTCCAGATGTTATTTTAAAACACTTAAGGATCTAAGGGGAATTTTCCTTGATCTTTTTCCTGACCCCAAAGCTCCAGAGCTTCCAACACACGGGATTTTCACAGTCTAATCCGTCTGACATTCCATCTTCATCTGAGGCAGGCTGTACAAACTTTCTTCCCTGAAATAGGTGGCCTGCTTGGAGGATGACCCTGGTTGGTATTATCAAAGTCCAAGGCTTCCATGAGTTTACCAAGAAAACTCGAGGACAACCTCAATACTCCTAACAAAACTGCAGGGCAACGGTGATAACAGTGGGAAGCACTCCGTGAGACGTAGCCAGATCCCAACCAAGAGATGCTATTAGTGGCGTCGGGAGAAGAGAACCCGGAAGACTCTGAAAACCAGAGTCCCCTGACCGGGGCTCCGTCTGGCCTGCAGCCCTGTGGTGGGGGTTGGAGGGAGGCCGAACAACACGACACATCAGAGAACATGGCTGAGGAGAGGGATGGCGACCAAGGAAAAGGGACCGGCGCCGGTATAAACTGAGGTGAAATGCAAAGGATTTATAAATTATAATGCCACAAGTCTTCAGAGAAAAGGGAAAAATCTGGAAAAGGAGATGAAAGTACCTGAGGCATTGCAGAAGCGATCTGTGCCATTGTAGACTCTACAGCAAGAAGACTGAGGCTTGACCCAATCAAAATAATCATCGATCCAGGACGAGGGGGCAAAGCCTATTCGGGTACTGGCGAGAAGGAGGGAGAAGTTACTGACTTGCTCCGCGGGGGGAGGTCTCAGATTCAGTCCTTTTTCTCGAAACCTAACTTCACTTTCTAGATGTTACACTGCTGCCCAAAGGACAGACTTCATCACCACTTAATGGAAAACCCTTCCAGATAGGAGCTGCTCAATTAGTCCTTTTAAAGCTTTTGCTGAGGTAAAGCTAGAGTTAGCATGATTCTGAGCAACACATTTTCTAAGCAAATCTATCCTGAGTGAGCCATGTCAGGCCCAGGCGGCCGGGGGCCCCTTCCGGCTGCTTCCGCGGCAGGACAGAACGCCGGGCGGTACTGACTAGTTGTCCAGCTGAGCCGCGGTGAAGATCTGCTGCACCAGGGAGTCGTTATTGCAGCCCATGCCCCCGCACACCATGTTCTGCCCTTTCAGGGAGCTGTAGTCGTGCCCTTCCTCCAGGACGAAGTACACAGGTGGGCCCGCATGCAGGTATCTGAGCGACCTGAAGTAATCCAGCACGTAGGAGTCCTGCACGAGCGATCAGAGAACGGGACACAGTGGGAATGTGCTGACGAGCCCAGGTGAGGGGACGGCTAAGGATGGAGACAGCACTGGGATGCTGCTGGCCGAGACGGCCCCAGCCGAGATGTGGACCGTCCCCCCAACCCGAGCCAGCTCCCGGCTCCTCACCCTCCCTGCGCCCAAGGTGCTTCTTTGGCGGGCCCACCGCCAGGAAGGCACCTTACGAGGTGAGAGGCTCACTGCTCTATTTCTCTGTACCCTCCTCACCCCGAGAGTTCCCCATGCTAAGATGGGCCCCACTGCCAGGCTCCATGGCGGTCCTTGTAACCTGGGGAACCGGCCGCCACATGCATTTAGAAGCAGGCATTCACCCGGAACAACTGCATGCAAGTTTTGGAAAATGTATTTGTATCTTTGGCTAAACAAGGTAAAAGAGAAAGCAGCTTACATCAGGCATGGAGAGAGACTGATCCAATCCAATTTCCACTTTGTTCAGCACCGCGATACTGAAGGACAGGACACCCACAAATACCGCTATCTGGAATAAAAAGTGAGCTGTAAGGCAGGGACTGCTTCGTGCATGGCAGCTTAAGAACATAAATAAGATCTTCCACACGTGAAAAACGGGACTGTCCCCAACCGAAAAGTTTACATGCCACGTTAACGTAGAGAGCAGGAGTACTGGCTGAGAGGACAGCATCTAGTCAAACTACTTGGGTTTAAATCCTGGCTCCAGGATTTGAGTGACCCTGGGGAAGTCACTTAACCTCTCTCAGCTTCTACTTCCTCATCAGTAACACAGGAAAAATAAAAGATGTATAACATAAGATAGTTTTGTGGGTTAGATGAGAAAATCTGCAGACAATCCAGATTCAGCATTGTACCCAATATTCAGTGTTTGTTAAATGTTAAGTGTTACCATTACTGGGGACGAAGTCATGTTCTTTTATTAGAGCAGTGATAGGTCATCGCTGCTGGCTATCCCCAGTAGATCACCTACAGAAAGCTCTCACACTCTTGCTGGGGACTCGGGACGGTGGGTGGTGTGCTGGGGAGGTTTGTGGCACTGTAACGGGGCAGCGTGAGGAGAGAGTTGTGGCAGGACAGTTCCGTGTATCAACTGCAGTGGTGGTCACTGCCACTGCACATGTGATGAAGGGACTCAGAACTCGACATACACACGTGCCCATGTCAAATTCCTTGTTTTGACGCTGAACTATAGTTGCGTAAGACCACAGGGAGAAGCTGGGTTGATGGGTACCTGGGTCATTTCTGTACTATCTTTTTGACTTTCTATGAATCTAAAATTACTTCAAAATAAAAACTTGCTTATACTGACTACTAAAAGCTAGCTAGAAAAATATTTTATGTACTTGTACATATTTGCTTTTGCATTTTGTATATATACTTAACAACTGTCACAATCTCCTTCCCACGCTGGTTTCTTTCTTTTTTAAAGATTTTATTTATTTACTTTAGAAAGAAGCATGTGTGCAAGCAGCGGGGAGGAGCGGAGGGAGAGGGACAAGCAGAATCCGCTCTGAGCACAGAGCCCAACACAGGGCTCGAACCCATGACCCTGAGATCATGACCTGAGCTGAAATCAAGAGTTGGACGTTTAACCAACTGAGCCACGCAGGTGCTTCACCCAAGCTCCTTTCTTAGAAGGCATGTGATAAAACTGTTTTTGGAGAAAAATGAGGAAAACCACAGACAAACTCATACCACAATAGGTCGCATCCAATCCTTAAGCAGAAGTGGAGAATAGGAGTTTTTGAAGAACCGAAACAAGCAGCTTTCTGAGGCCTGGACACTAGTTCCATCTTCAGAGCCTCTGACACAGCAAAGGACATCCAGACGATGTTTCTGAGAGGAAAAAGAGGGACAAAGGTCACACCCTCCTGCTGCTTCACTTGGATTCTAGGCTGTAAACAGACTGCCATCCTGACAACAACTTACCTCTTGACGCTTGATGTCTAACCCCAAGAGACTCACAAAACACGTAATCTGAAGAAGGAAGTCAATGAGGACGGCCATCCCGGCGAACAGGGAGAAAGTGTGAACGGCTGGCATCTTTGACAGCGCCCCTGCAGGGGGAGAGAAGCTGCCCCGTCACGTCCACTTACAGCAGGGGACTCCATGCGGGTCTCGCACTCATGTGTACACAGGAACACAAGGAGCTAGAATAGACTGAAGCCACGAGAAGACCCACGCTTCCCACAACCCCCCCAGAGGAATGCCACAGAAATATTTTCTCTCTGCTATTAGATCAACAGTATTAGTCTCCCACTTCTGACACAGTTAGATGAGGGCGCTCCCAGTCAGAAGTATTGGGTTAACACCCAGAGACTGCAAACTAGCAGCCCACAGGCCAGATGATATCCTGTATGGTCCACATTAGATCAATTCATTTTAGGATGAAAACACATTTCTTTTTTTAAAAATAGAAGCCAATATTTAACAATGAGACCCAACACAAAAATCTAGATTCACAGCTTCACTTAAAAAAAGAAACTGGACCTAGCAGCACTGGGCCAGCAACACGTAACTACCCTTTCTAGACCTCTGCCTTCTGCTCCTACAGTCCTCCCAGAGTCACTCCAATCTTGAGGCACAGTGTCAGCTGCTATTATCATCACATTTTCTGATGAGAAAACAAGAGAAAGTAACTTTCTCTGCACCTGTATCTATCAAAAGGAAGTTTAAGGACCACAGGCTTGAAAGCACACTGCTCTATGGAAATGAAGACGGCATCCTGGGTCTGTTCTGAAAGACCTCCGCCTTCATGAGTCTACAGCAGCCCCGTGTGAACAGCCCATGGAGGCATTTCCATCTGTGGCCCACGGATCGCATTTCTAATCCAGCTTCCTGCTCTGAAGACGCACTCGATTGTCTCATCCCACACAGCAGACAAGGGGGCAGACAGCCCTGTGAGTAAGGCTGCGTGGTGATTTCTCCACAGGAAAGAAACACAGAGAACACTGGTTTTTGTTCCAGCTCATTCTGGCTCCTTGTAGTGAGGGGAGGTCCAAGGACCTCTGCTCATTAACAAGGCTGCTTCCCCGATGGTTTGTGCGGACAAAGAGGAATGTCTACGCCTATGGATTTTGCTCAGAGTATGGTGTTGGCCTGGCTCCTGTGGGACGCAGGAATGTCATTTTCAAAGATCCACATTTGCCACAGGTGCCAAAAAGGGGAAGCAGCAGAGAAGTTCAAGGTTATCTGTCAGTCTGGACCCCAACATCAACACTATCATGAAACAACATGAGAAAGTGGAGGGGCGCTGAGCGGCTCAGCTAGTTAAGCAGCTGACTCTTGATTTCTGCTCAGGTCATGATCTCAGGGTCATGAGATCAGGTGCCACATTGGGCTCTGCGCTGGGCGTGGAGCCTGAAGATTCAATCTCTCTCCCTCTGCCCCTCCCCCCAACCCCCCAAAAGAAAAGAGGACACTTCCAAAATGATATCCAAGATACTGCTACTGATTTTCCCCGTGGTCCACTCTGATACTTTCTGATTACAGAATAAGCTTAAACAAGGAAGTAACACGATGGGACATAGTCAGATACCCAGATCCTTCTACCTCCAGGCTCAGGAAACAGTGGGACTGGTAGAATTCAAAGAGTAATTACCTAAGAAAAACGCTACAGCCTCTGAAAAGGAGGACAGGAACATACTAGGAGCCACTTCTCCTAGGACCCTGCCCAGCTGCTGATCCAGAGTTTCTCCTTGAAGACGTTCATCTCGCTTAAAAAAAACAGAACACAATACACAGGCCATTAACCTTTCTAAATGACAATGCCATCTCTTTGCTTCTTTGTTGCTTTGTGTTAACAGTAAAGACAAATGATTAGGAGCTTCTACTTATTGTAGATAAACTTTGATGGGGGGCCTGCAACTTGTCCTGACAATCCATCCAGGGTATCACTAAACCCCTGAGCTAGGTAACAGGTGGAAAGCTCAAGGGAAGACTGGATCATCTTATCAGGAAAACACACAGAATGCAGCCTGCAGGTGGCTGGACCATTAAGGGACACTCTTACGTGCCACTGAGTCCCCAAGTAAGGTGACCAGGAAAGAAAAATATCATGATTGAGACCATATTATACATCAGCAGGTCCTATGCTGTCCTATCTTCAGTGGCACCTCTGACAAGTCTCTGATTCTTCTACACTACTGGAGACTCATTTTAGTAACAGTTGTATCCAAGGGGCGCCTGGGTGGCTCAGTGGGTTAAAGCCTCTGCCTTCAGCTTGGGTCATGATCTCAGGGTCCTGGGATCGAGCCCCATATCGGGCTCTCTGCTCAGCGGCGAGCCTGCTTCCTCCTCTCTCCCTCTCTGCCTGCCTCTCTGCCTACTTGTGATCTGTCAAATAAATAAATAAAATCTTAAAAAAAAAACAGGAAAAGAAAAAAAAATAAGAGTTGTATCCAAAATGTTTTTCGCAAGCATGTAAGCCCTTCTTGCACACATATTTAAAACTGAATTCTTAGGACGCCTGGGTTGCTCAGTCAGTTAAATGTGCAATTCCTGGTTTCAGCTCAGGTCATGATCTCAGGGTCCTGGGATATAGCCCTGGGTCTGTCCCTCTTCCTCTGCTCCTCTCCTACGATCTTGCTCTCTCTCTCAAATTAAAAAAAAAAAATCTTTAAAATTTAAGTCTCACTTTATTCCTCCAACCAAGGAGAAGGCTGAGCAAGTTATGGACACCAATGAGCAACACAGAGAACAGGAAACACCGCTACCCCACTTCCACGCTTGCAAGTACTCGGCATAGAGCGGGACAACCATTAACGGAGCTCACTACTTGGTCTGATGGCAAGCTCTGTCAGGCTATGGAAACGCACCTGGTAGGTCTGGACCAGAATGAAGATGTTGTCCACCCCGACAGCCAGCACCAGGAATGGGATGACTTCGATCACAATGAGGGTGAGGGGGATCCCAACGTAGCTGAAGATGCCCAGTGAGCATGCCACTGAGCTCAACACGATGAGGATCCCAGCGATGCCAAGGGAGATCTTAGAATCCACCTGAACCACGCAACAAAGATAGAGAGTCAGACTCTCGTTTGTCCCATGACTAAAAGGACCTCATTTTTACCTCTTTCTTGGAGTTAAAGGTGCTCTCCGAGAGAAAGATAAGAAAAGATAAAAGATAAGAAAAATATTCTAGATCTTCCCTTAGCAGCCATGCTTTACGGGCTTCAATTCTCACGTGTAGTCAAATTAGGAAAAACTGGATTATGAGAAATAAACTGTAAGTTTTAAAATAAACCAAAAATCTGGAACTGGAGAAAAATAAGTAACTAAAACAGAGAGCTAGGATTACCCACTGAAGCTGAGAGATTTTTTAGTTGTTTAATGATTGAATACGCCCTCCATTTATCGTTTGCCTGTGCTCTGTAACCCTGAGATTAGAAGTGGCTGCTTCTGGCTGTATTTGAATGTGGGATCACTTTTCCTTGCCTTTCTCCCACATTGTGTGTCATGGCTACCTAGTAAATACTGCGTTTTCTTCTCATTGGTTGACCCCAGAAGAGGTTAAGGCTGTGCTGCTTTGGTGTTTTGAGATCTGCCCTACACGAGGTGGGAGGAGAAGGAAGTCAGAGAAGAGAGGAGGTCAGGATTTCCGTGAAGGAGAAAGAAACAGTTGGGCTGTTTTTTTTGCCTTTCCCAGTGTAATTGATTTCAAGCTAGATTTCACGGGAATAACATTCAGCTCTCTTTTAAAGGAGATCGGAGGGTAGAGTAAGCTAGTTGAAATTTCAGTGCACACAGCTAGTCAGAAGGGCACACGTTTGGAGCTTCGGTAGCAATGTTTTCTCCTTAAAAGGGATCTCTTTCAGATAGTATTGCGGGCTTGGGCCCTGCGTGCAGTCGGGAGGGGATCACACGATTCCAGGTCTGGCTGCAGCTCAGAGGCCAGCAAGAGCTCCGCTTCCAGTCTGCCTGCCTCGACTTGTGGATTAGCCGGAAGCTTGATAGCTCTCTGGCAGCACTGGGGGAGGAAGGAGCGAGTTCTTATGTTTGATTAAGTCCTTTGGCTCTCTGTGTTCCTTCCGGCATCTTCCTTTTCTTGAGCTCATAGTGTTAGCATTAGAAGAATAGGTTGTGTCCGGGCACCTGGATGGCTCAGTTGGTTAAGTGTCCTACCCTTGATTTCGGCTCAGGTCATGATCTTAGGGTGGTAAGGTCCAGTCCTGAATTGGGCTCTGAGCTGGGCGTGGAGCCTGCTTAAGATAACCCCCCATCCACCCAGCCCCATGCACTCGCTGTCTCTCAAAAAAAAAAAAAAAATGGGTTTTGTCAGATGTTTATCTTGTATTTGCCGCTTACTCGGCATGAAGGTAACTGCTGGTGAATTGGAGGGAAAACCACTTCTAGACATTAAAAACCTTCTGCTCTGTTCCAGTGGTTTGGGACCAGTCAGAAGGCAGGCAGGTTCTAACTGGCTAGTTACAATCAAATGCCAGGTGTGATCAAAATAATAGTCCTGACAAAGGTTAATAATTCAAAGGTCCATTGAGTCTTGGGCCTCCGGAGTGTGGGTTGGTAAAGCATCTTTTACAGTTAATGACTGTTTGTCTTGTTTTTCCGGCTAGACTGTAAGCCCCTTGCAGGCTTGTAGCATCTTTGTATCTTGCCCGCCCCGTGTGGTTGCAGGGCATGCTGGCAGGAAGAGCTTGTTAGGCTGTTTTGAAAGAGGACGCCGGCAAATTGGGGATGAGCCAGCTGCTGTCATTTCCCCTTCTGTTTTTGGTCTTGTTCCACCAGTGTTGTGGAGCTGACTACAAGTTAGGATCACCTGGTTGGGGGGGGGTGGTGCTTTAAAAACCAAGGGCATCTGGCTCTCACATGGGAGCAGTTAAGTCCGAATGATTGGAGGCCAGCGTTGAGGCCCACATGTAAGACCTTCACCCTTGGGGGGCACCTGGGTGGCTCAGTGGGTTGGGCCTCTGCCTTCGGCTCGGGTCATGATCCCGGGGTTCTGGGATCGAGCCCTGCCCCGCGTTGGGCTCTCTGCTCAGCAGGGAGCCTACTTCCCTTCCTCTCTCTCTGCCTGCCTCTCTGCCTACTTGTGATCGTTGTCTGTCAAATAAATAAATAAAATATTAAAAAAAAAAAAAAAGACCTTCACCCTCGGGTGGTAGATGCAAGTGTTCTTTGTCTTGGCTTATCTGACCCATGGGCCCTTTCCTCTTTTGGGTGGTCTTTTCCAGACTGCTGATTAAAACCTGTCTTCTGATTGTCCCTGGGTGGTGGGAACAGAACTGGGAATGATGTTTAGTTTGCCGGGCTGTGTGTCTCAGGTTCAGAGAGGGCTGCCCCCCTGACGTACAGGCAGTGTAACTGGTCATCATGAGTCCTTGTCACGTGGGATTTGATATTGAATCATCCAGGGACGTTTCTCAGTTCCTTACTGTGCGTGTGTAAATGATGATGAATCATCTTTAGTTATTACAGAAGAATTACCAAATCTGAATTCTTGATACTTTTCCCCTTCTTGGGAGGACATTTTCATGGATTGTTCTCGACTTCCCTCTTCTTCCTTATAGGGGTTATCAGTGGGACAAGAGCGTTCACTCCTTTGTCATTTAACCACAGTTGAATAAACATTTACCGAAGGCTTTAAAAAGTACTGCATTTCACATCCTAAGCACGGGTATTGGCACGATTTTCTGATGGCATCGTCCTTGCCCACTTGTGTTTTTTCCATTTGCAGGTCCTGCTCCTGTGACCAGCCAGTCTCCTGTCCCGTGCAAACTCTGTATCCTTTACAAAGGCCTTGCCGCTGGGCATGGAAGGGAAGCTCTTGCCCCCTTTTATACTGGTGTCTGAGAGAGGTCCTGTGGCCTTGGCCTTTTCAGCTGTGAATGAGCTAAAGGCTTGGGAGCCCCCAGGGGAGCATTTCTCACCACCCAGGGCCAAGGAGCCTCTGCAAGTAGGGGGCGGGGCGGGCTTGTCTTTTGTTTCCATCTCCTCCTGGTTTACCACTTCCTATAACACGTAGATTCTTCGTCCTGGATTGTCTTTCAGCCCGACATCATTATCAGTGCAAGCCAAGGTGGGTCAGAGGGGCGGTCGCTAAGTTAGACAGTACTTGTTGGCTTGCGATGACAGAAGTCGCCAGTGCTGTTTTCGAGGTGAATTTGAGAGATGACCACTCCCTTCAACCCTAAAGTGGGAGATTCTTCACTTTATATTCTCTCTATTGTTTATTTATTGCTTTATCCTGAGCATGTTATTTTTAAAATTAATAGCTAAGAGTGGCCATTCCCCTGCTTTTGGCCCATTCCACTCTGTCCGTTCTGAAAAGCCAGACCCCATAGCACGGTGCACAAGACCCTCCCTGCCTGTCCTGACCCCCCACCTCCACACCCTCGTGCGCCGGAGCCCTTTTCTGTTCCGGCTGCACAGAGAGGTGTGCTCCTGCTTCCCACGGTGCTGGGGAGGCTTCTTCAGGATGTTAGTTGTCTTCCTAGTAGCCCCCCACCCCCTGTATCTTCCATTAGAGGACATCCTACCCATCTTCAGTCATTCGTGAAACTTTCCTGTCTCAGATCCTGGGATTCTCAGGGCGAGAGTTAGCCCTGGTGCCCCTGAGAGCCACTTCTCTCGTCTCCATGTACCTCTGAGCAGCTGTGGGAGAATCGAGAAGGGGATCGCTCAGATCATATTTAATGCAGTGTTAAATTCTCTTGTGGAACCCCAGTTGAGAAAGGCAGTGTGGATGTTCGGGAAAGTCATGAATCGGTGAATGATGAATTGCGAAATTCCCTTGGGAGCCTCCGGAGTTAACTTTTGACTGAAGAACCACTGTGGGAGAAACCAAAGTATAGGACCCAGGTTCATGCCACACGTTAACATCTTTTTAAACTTTCAAGGCTAAAAAGGGGGTTAGGTATAGGGATGGAACTGCTCTGAGTCACCCCCACCATTGCCCCCCACCATCTCCGTTTTGGGAGCTACACCATTGATGTCCCAGTGATCAGAGAGGGTCACCTCAGCGTAAGAAGCCATTGAGCATGCAGCTGTAGGGTGGCTGTCAGTCCTTCCGTCAGGTGCAGCCTGTGTGTCCTAGGCTGCACTTGGTAAGATCAGGGTTGTATCAGTGCTGTGCAGACTGCCCCCCACCCCCACCATGAATGTTTCAGGGGAACCACCTTTTGGGCTTTTGTTCCGATTTGCATCCTGTGTGAACTTTGCTGCCTCTTCCACCCAGGCTACCTCTGGAACCTCCAAGTGAAGCTTCAGCCCATCGTAAACCTCTTGCCAGATAAAGGAAGACTGATGGACTTTCTCCTCCAGAGAAAGGAGTGCAAGATGGTCATTCTGTCTGTCTGTTCGCAGAGTAAGTGGACCAGTCCTCCCCACTCGGTCTGGATTCCAGGGTTGGGACTGTGCTGCCCACACCTTTCCTTGGGAGCTGGGCCGCATTTTTGTGTCTTGTGCACAGCCTTGTCCTTCACTTGAAGGGTGGATCATTTAACCCCCTGGAAAGGTGATGAAATAGCAACATGACTTGTAGTTACTTGGGGACAAAAGCTAGATAGGACGGTGCCAGGTGAGAGCAACCCACACGCTGCTGGGGCATCTGAGGGTTAGGGCACTGCCATCCCCAGCCTGAAAACAGACATTTTCCAGAATCCAAGTCCCTCACTACAGAGATCTCTGAGCACTTCTGCTGAAACAGTCCGTAGCTACTTTTTCTAGTCCCTGGGAAGGGCTGGTGAGTGAATTCTAGGCTTTAGGTCTCAGAACGATTCCATTTCTCTCAATGCCCACTGGAGATAGGTTTGCCCTGGTGGCCCTTTGAGGTTAGTTCTTTCTGTCCCAGCAGCACGTTTGTGTTCCGAATGGACATAAACTCGGCTGACCTGTGTGAACGTTCTTTCCAGTGCTGAGTGAGTCCGACAGAGCCACATTACCTGTGATCGCCACGGTTTTTGACAAGCTCAATCACGAGTATAAGAAGTACCTGGATGCAGAGCAGAGCTACACAACGGTAAGCTGTGTGGGCTCCTCTCCACCCCTCCCCCGTGTTTCCTGAGGAAGAGGCAGGACGCCACTGAGGCCTGCGTGCTGAGGGGGCATGGTGGCCGCAGTTGGGGGGCAGCTGCTGGTCTGCACGGCTGTGGGAAGCAGGAGGGCTGCTCCCCGTGGGTTTCTGTGCACCCCTGCTCTGGCTCCCAGGCTTCTTCAGCCCTGGCCCTTGCTAGTTGGAGCCTCTCAGGGCCTGCTATAGCTCCACATGACCTGCGCTGGGCAGACTGCCTTAGAGTCAGGTGAAGCAGTGCATCGTGTCACAAAGCTCTCCCCATCTGTGGCATTCGGGGAGGGCTTATCACTCGGACATCCAGACAGTTTTATACGCGGTCTTCACTTACCGCAGGATCAGGACTTTATAAAAAAAAAGCAGGATGCATTCTGTTTTTATTAGGTAACAAACATCAGAAAGTCCATAATTCATTAGGGATTTTAAGGTTAAGAAAATGTGTCTCAAGAGGAAGCGGACTTACGCCTTCGCCTTTTAGTTCCATTCATGAACAGTAGCCTGTTTTTAAGATGACCACCTCTGCCTTCCCAAACCCTGCCTCTGCCTGCACAGGAGAAATCATTTTGTCCAAGTACCATGTGCCACCTTCTGCTCCCATTTGAGGCACACGGGGTCTAGAAATCGAGGCTTCTGGGCTTATCGAGAAGATGGTTCAGGTCACATTTGCCAATGTGTCGTTCAGGCACTAGAAGCTGGGCAGAGCCGGAGCAGTCCGCTTCTCAGGAGGCCGGTGCGGACCCAGGCAGTGATCGATCAGTCCGACATGTACACCCACGTCCTGTCGGTGTTCACGGAGAAGAAGGTGGGTGACGGGGCCCCTGGAGAGCTTGTTTGCGGGGAGCTGAGGAAAGGAGTAGAACTCAGAATGCGATTAGACCAACTGGTATCTCGGGTGAAGACCTAGTGCTAGTAGTTTGACTTCCAATACTCCGGCCAGAACGTGACTGTGGATGGGGAAGGTTCTGGATCTGTGCAAAACCAGCAAAACAGAACCGTGGGACAGATTCATGTGGAAACGAGGGGTGGAGAAATAAGCTGCAGGCGACCCCTCGCAAGTCCTCGGTGGTTTTAAGACTTCTTTTCCTCCGTAGGACATGCCTCATAAGTTCGTGATCGCCGTCCTGATGGAGTATATCCGCTCGCTCAACCAGTTTCAGATCACAGTACAGGTACCTTCCGGTCAGCAGGTGTGGTCCCAAGTTAGAGGAGCAGGGGCCGCACACCAGACCCAGGATGCGGAGTGACCTTCTCGACACTACCGTGTTGTCCTGAGGTGGGAGGAGGGGCGTTCCGTCAGGTGTCCCGTGGACGCACAGGGGACAGAAATCTGTCCCCTTCCTCGTGGAAACACATATCCAGCCCTTAGAACAGCTTGGGTCCTGGGCCCCATAGCCGCTCCTCTGGTGCAGGTGGGGGATTGGGAAATGTGCTGTCCTTCCGTCTGTCCTCAGCACTACTTACACGAGCTCGTCATCAAGACGCTGGTCCAGCACAACCTCTTCTACATGCTGCATCAGTTCCTGCAGTACCACGTCCTCAGCGACTCCAAGCCTTTGGTATGCGGCCCCCGTTTCTGTTCGTGGGCTTCAGGACTTCACGTTTAACCTCCTAACATTTGATGCTGAAGCCAGTTTGAAAATGTGTCTTTCAGGCTTGTTTGCTCTTATCCCTAGAAAGTTTCTACCCTCCTGCCCACCAGCTGTCTCTGGACATGCTGAAGGTAACTCTTGCCACAGCCGCGTTCGGAACTGCGTGCCTATCTGTTCCTGTCTCGGCACTTACAGGACCTCTCTCCCTCCCTCCCAGCGACTGTCCACCGCCAACGACGAAATCGTGGAGGTGCTTCTTTCCAAACACCAGGTATTGGCCGCCTTGCGGTTCATCCGGGGCATTGGCGGCCACGACAACATTTCTGCACGAAAATTTTTAGATGCCGCGAAGCAGACTGAAGACAACATGCTTTTCTATACTATATTTCGGTTTTTTGAACAGCGAAACCAGCGTTTGCGAGGGAACCCTAACTTCACACCAGGTGAGGCTGTGGTGGCCGTGAGAGAGGGGAGTGAACAGACCGGCAGTAGCAGGAGCAGGCTGGCGGCCGGGCCTTCTGGGGGCCCTCCTAAGAACTCCTGGGTTAGCTTTCTTAGAAACAAAATTCCATCTGCCCATGGAATCTGAATCCTGCTCTGGGACTCGCAGTTAATGCACTTCCAGTGTGGCCCATGCCACTGACCTGAGAATGCTGCTTTCTGAGGAATCAGGGATAAGACAGGAAATGGTGGCAGGAAACCGTGACTAAGGCATGTCACATGGCCTGGGGCTTACCACTGATGGTCTTAGGAAACCGAGGCTAATCTTAGCTCTTTGTCTCCCAAGTTATGAAACCTCAGGCATCTAGCTTCTTTAGGATGGGGAAGGAGCATGTGAGGTTGCGTCAGGCCCCCCAGTAACCCGTGTGGGGTGGCACTGCCAGGACAGGCAAGCCACTTGTGTCTCCAAGCAGGTGGCAGTTCGCTGGGGTTGTGAAGGTGTCCAACAGCTCTGGCAGCAGCTGTATAAATAAAAAGGACAACTCAGCAGCTTAGGAAAACAAGTGTTTTATGAAAGAAAATAAGTTAAAACCCCACCGTACATATCTATGAGCTGTGAAGCATTCATTTTGTTTTCCTCTTTTTGTGCCACATCTGATGAAATCTGTATTTCCTTTATAGGAGAACACTGTGAAGAACATGTTGCTTTTTTCAAACAGGTTTTTGGAGACCAAGCTCTAATGAGGCCTACAACATTCTGAAATCACTTGCTAGTTTGTTTTTTTATATATATATAAAAATGTGTACAAAGTTAATTTATTGCATTAATAAAGCTCTTTAAACTATAAAATGTTATAGTAAAGTGTATCTACAACATCCTCAAGTGTTACTAAAAATATGGTATAGAACTTGTGTGATGGCTTACTCCAAAAACAAAGGAAAAACATTGCATTGATTGGCCTTTAAAAAGTGTCAGGGAGCAGATCCCACTCAGCCTCGCTAGCATCCCCTCCGCCTGCCCAGGTGAGGGCTCGTTCCCGGAGACCGTGGAGGGCCCCTCGGCGTCTTGGAGCTGCCTTCGATTAGGTAATACTGCTTCACACGTCAGCTTGTGGTCCGGAGTTGAAAGCACTAGGGCCGAAGCTGCTGCTGTTCGAGCCTGCTCTCCGCATCCGCCCTGAAGACACAGCAACTGTCCCGCTGTAAGCCCACCGACCCACACAGTTCAAAGTCCCCAGACCTCGCAAGAGGCTAGAAATTTAGGAGCTGTTCTCGCTCTGTACCTTTGTATCGCTCTTGAGTGGCCAAACTTTTGGCTTTATTTATAGATGGGCCTGTGAGGGATTTTAACAAAAAGCAAAAACAAACTTCAGAATCGTTTCTTCAGGAGAAAAGGCAATCAGGTAGTTGTATTACAGTACAAACTTTCTATCCCCAGAGATTAATACCCCCTCCCCCCCGCCAAATGCCTCAGCTTCTTACAAAGCTCTGAGACAGCCAGTTGGTCCTGCACTCTCCTTCCAACCCCACCTCATTTACGGAAGCTGAAGTGGCCAGAGAAGTAAAAAAATCTTAAGGGCAATCTTGAAACGAGAGAAGCACAGGCAGCCCTCTGCGAGGCCCGTGAGTCAGGGAATGAGAGCTGCTCTGCGGCACTGCTGGGGCTTGCCCAGCGGCCGAGTCACTCCGGCCACCCCTCTCAGGGGCAGCGGGGAGACCCCAGGGCCGCAGCCATGCAAGCGCCTTCACCGTCTGACTTCAGGGCCTTGCCCAGCAGCCAAGTGGAGCCTCCAGAAAAAGCATTAGCAGCTTACTAATGAAGCCGTTTGGACCACCATGAAATCCCTAGACCAGATTTTTTTCCTTTCACAATTTTTTTTTTAAGTACCATTTGAGAATGCTTCTAGATTTCTTTTCCTTTAGTCACATGCTTCCTCCATCCACTTACCTCAGAACAAGAATGCTTACCTATGTAGCTGAGTAAGACAGGAAGGAATATCAAGCCATGGGTGGCTCCCAGTAAGACCATAGCCAGATACATCCTGAAGTAGAATATCTGGAAGATCTGAGACTTGGCAAACGCCAGCACCACAATCCCTCCAAATTTTGTTAGTGTGATTCCACTGAACACCTGAAAGAAGAGATAGCGTTGGAAAGCGCTTACTAACCTGCTCTAATTCAACACGTCCTCACAGCGATTTCTTGATGGGCAAGGCCCAAAGCAATGGGTTGAACCCCAGCTTTTAGTTACTGACAAGCAGGACTACATTCTACCTAAAATTGATTTGCTGCTTATAGACGTGGAAAAAAAAAGTAGAAGGGTAAAAGCTGTGTATTCTGCATGGACAATGGACGCTGTCTTTAAACAGCTTTCCTTACACTTTTAGATGAAAACTATTAAGGACTTTCTAGAGCAGCAAAAAACTGGCTGAGAGGCGGAAGCAGGCTATGGAGTTGAACTAAGAAGATTCTCCCGGCTCTGAGGGCCCCAGCTCCCTGGGTGCCAACACGTGTGCTCAAATCGAACCTCTCCGTTCTCTTCCTGCTTCATGGTCTGTAAAGGATTCACCGAAGAGAACGGTTCTAAAGAACTTCAGGATTTAGCTATTCATGAAATGCCCAAAGATGCATCACCCTTGGGAGTGGCTAAGTAACTCAAATTCTCTTTTTCCTACTGACTTTTCCGGTCCCTGAGAAGTTGACGAGCTGGGCACCCCGTGCGGAAACGTCTGGCCAGGCTACTTACGGAACTGCCCATGTGAGAGAGCGCCTCTTCGGCCCGTTGCACGCGGCTGCCCTTCGTGCTCACTGTGAACGCTCTCGTGATGTGGCTGCAGAACTCCACTGAAATGCCACAGCTCTGAAAGAGAGTCTCCCGTTACTGCCCTCTTGTGGCTGAAAATCCTAGCAGCAGGCACTCCTCCCCCAGGATCTGGTATGCCAGGCACCACAGGTGGCCCAGGAACCCTAAGCATCCCCTTTTTGTAACACCGAGCACCCCAGCGGTGCACGCCCACTGAAGGTGCACCGGGCAACTCGTGGGACCCTCAAGCACCCAGACTCCACTTCTCTAGAGCAGATCTGCTTGTTTTAGGGGGACTCGTGGAACCCTCATAAGGTTACCCCTCCCCCTCAAGAGTCAGCACCCCTCAGATTTGCTTTAGCTGGGCCTCCCTGCCGCTTCCCCAAAAACAGTGTTCATGTCGTAAGTACAGACACGCTGCTATTTTAGTAGTTTTTCAAATGCTCCTATCTTTAAGACTATCAGAAAGCACCTGGCAATTGCATGAGAAGCGAAAGGTACTGGTAGCGAATTCCACTAGGAAGGAGCATTTTTTTCTAAAAAGTGAACATCTTCTCATTGGGCTACATGTTTTTGCAGACCCTTCGGGACAGAAGTTCCAGGCAAAATACCCCTGTGACACCACGGAGTCGCACTTCCATTGTTCTATGTACAACCCAGGTCCCCACTCCATTAGCACTCATCCCACCTTTCCACGAGCAAGAGCTGGCCTTGGTCTTTCACCCCAAGAAACAGTTCACAGAAGTGACACGGGAGGCAGGAGCCAACTGAGTGGGCCAGGACTCACCATAACCAAATTGACCAAGGAAACCGCATTCAGACTGATGCCCCAGAGCCACATGACGCCAAACATGTTGATCAAGATCATGGCGATAGTGACACACATGATCACCGCAGACCACAGTTCACAGCCCAGGAGAACCAGGGTCACCAAGAAGATGGCTCCCAGGGACACGCTGAGATTAAAGATCGTGTCATCGATAATGGTCAGGTACTGTTCGTAGAAGACATAGAACACACTGGAGAAAAGAGCAGAAGGTTCTGTTATAGCTCGTGCTTGCTTCTGGAAGCTTTTGTTCATCCTGCCACTATTGCAGAACCAACTACTCTGATTCATCCCTTGCATAAAAACATCCTGTTTTTGTGAGACTCCTCCATAGTAATTCAAATGAACCTCTGACCACTAATACCCAAAAAAGGGCCTCGTAATGATCCAAAATGTGTATTTTATATAAAGTTTTTGTTCATAAGCTCAACCTCTTCACTTCATAGGCATTTACAGAGTATTTCAGGGTATGTTGAAAACACAAGTCCTGATCTATCCTGAGAATTACCTCAGACCAAATGAGATCTGTGCGGGGCATGAGGAGAAAAATGGTTTTTTGGCAAAGTTAGTCAGCTCTTCTCAAGAATTAGGACATCCATTCTGAGAACTTCCCCAGAAAAACAGGCTGTCCTCCTGTCAGGAATGGATCAGAACCCCTCTGAGCAAGATCACAGGGGTGGGGAAAAACCACCTGTTTCTTCTACTTTTTAGTAGTTTCCAAATTCGGTATCTCCTGAAATGCTTTATAGGAGAAAAACCCCAACAAACAAAAATGAAAAACCTCCATAAAGACACCATATCCCAGGTAACTGGAAGTCAGGGGCAGCGAGCAGCTACCGGCCAGGAACGTGCGCTCGAGCCTCTCAGTAAAGCCTGGTCCCCCGGTACCTCGCCCCCTGACCCAGGGTGCTGCTTTGAAGTGTGTCTTTCTTTGGATGGTGAGCTCTAGCTCACAGATCAGATTTTGTGTGTGCAGCACTCAGACCTTAGGGGGTGCTGCAGACCCTGGCCTTCCTTGCCCAGACGCTACTTCCCCTGATATTATTTGCTTCTGCTCATGTTGGAGAAGGTGTCAGAACGAAAGCCAAGGATCAGCTTCCCATCAGGCGAGCCCTCAGGCTGTGGGCCCTAACCCAAGACACCTTGTTTATAAAATTCAAACTACCTGTACGGGAACACACGGTAACCGCTTCCATCGAGGCCCATGGTTTTGGTGATGTTGCCGGCGATGAGGATGGCTTTTCTCATGGCATCAGTAAAGTCAGCAGAGGTCTGAAGCACAGTGTGGTAGGTCATGAAGTGAGTGGCTCCGACAGCCGTGTCATTGCCAAGGATGTTAACGGCTGAACTGTAAGCAGCATGTCCCCTATGGGAAGACTCAGTGGTGTCAGGGAGGCCACAGAAAGTCCCCGCAGACCCTGAGCATGCAAAGCGAACTGGAAATCACCTGACCCTGGCTTAGAGGTCAGACCAGCTCTAGATTTCAGGGACAGGGAAGGAAGGCCCCGTGCAAGGGAACAGTGAAGGTTTTAGCTTATTCTCTCACTTTTGGTTGTTTTAGTGCAGAGGTGCTCTTGTTTGGGTATCTGTGTTCTCCTCCGGCGTTTGCTCGGCAGTGTTGTGTAATGGGGCGGGAAAGGACAAGGGCCCTGGAGTCCATGGCTGTGAGGCGGATCTCGGCCCCGCCCCGTATTAGCCATGGAACCCTGGGCGACGGGACTGAATCTGGGCTGCGGTGTCCTCTGTCACCTCCTCACAGGCTGTGTGGTAAGGGCGGCGACGTGGGTGAGGTGCCTGGCGCACGATGGCACGTAGGAGGCTCCCCGTAAGTGGTGGCTGTTGCTTTCCTAAAAGCTGGATGTACTCGGGTTTCTTTTATGCAGGCCAAAGCGTTCAGTGGGCAAGCAGACCACGCTGCAAGATTCGCTTTTATCTTTAGGCCCAGTCTTTCCTCTGTACCAAGTACAGGTCTCCAAGCACAGCCACGATACACATGACTGACTGATAGGAGTTTGGTTGAATTATGCATTAGGAAAATCAGGGAAGTCCAGGGTTTGCCTAACATACATGTGGACACTCTTCTTGCTCCTACAAAAGGTTCTGAATCATCCCACCCCCGACTCACAGCCTTCTTCCCTATTTCTGGGCCCAGAGGCCTTGCCTCCACACAGCTGACCAGCTGC